AGTCAAGGGCCGCATGGCTCACGGGGTGAAACCTAATACATGAAACTGAAACCTGAAACCTACAACCCGCACAGCTCCAGGGAGGTGTCATGTCAGCTGGAGCTGTCCGGGGCAGCGCTGCAGAATTGTTGTTCCCATCCAATCGTATCGTGTTTGTTGTATTGGTTGTTTTCGTAACGTTCTTAACCGCCCCTACTGAACATCTGTGCAAAATGAGCTTCGTAGCTCATCGGATTCCTCTCCAGTATGAATACAGATTGTCATTCTCCTGGAGAACCTTCCACGATGAATGAAGCTCTGCACACCGTGACACCCACATCACTCTGTAGCTTCACTCCACCCACATCACTCTGTGGCTTCACTCCACCCACATCACTCTGTAGCTTCACTCCACCCACATCACTCTGTAGCTTCACTCCACCCACATCACTCTGTGGCTTCACTCCACCCACATCACTCTGTGGCTTCACTCCACCCACATCACTCTGTAGCTTCACTCCACCCACATCACTCTATAGCTTCACTCCACCCACATCACTCTGCTCCCTGGCTTCGCTCTACCCACATCACTCTGCTCCCTGGCTATTTCCACGCCCCTTGTATTATTATTGCAGGGATCATTTAAAAAATGTTGTCTGCGAAGTTGCGCTCTGTGTGCGTGTGGTGTTTTCCTCCTGCTTGCTACTCCTGTACGAGAGCCCCCCACCCCCCACATCGACCCCCTCTGCGGCTCCGACATAAAAGGCAGCAGCCGTCCACGCTGCTTCTGGCAGGTTCGCCACAACGACGGCGGTCTATGAATAGCCTCGATTTGTTTTTTTGGTTGGCAGCTCACTTCGGGGCAGATGCGTTCACATGGGGGGGAGGGCAAAGAGAGAAAGGGAGAGAAGCGAGAGTGAGTGGAGAACAGGGAGGCGGGGGCGGGGGTATAGAAAGGTCCCCACCACCATCACCACGTAGCATTTCAGGCCGTCGGGGGCACACATGAACGTCGGCACGGTGCCCAAACGCACGCACGCACGCGCGCGCGCGCGCAGCCCGTGGGTCACGCGCGTCGCTCGCGGCGTTGCGCGAATTCACAACATTTCAGAAGCGCCGCGCGGTTCACAAACCGAGCATCGCACCCCCCCCCCCCCCCACCGCATTGGCATCAACTCGCGATCCGCACGCAGGTTAAACGCTGTCGGCGGCAGCGGCGGCACGTGAAAAACCAACACAGCGATGGAGCGGAGAGGGGGGGATGGGTCACCGCCACCGCTGTGTGACCGCGGCAAACGGAGCCGGCCAGCCTCGTGTGGCGGGGAATCAAATTAGCGCCGCCGAGATCCAATGTTGGCTTGGCTCTTTGCGCCGCAAACAACAAAAATACAAAAACACTTGGGGGACAACCGCGGCCCCCGGCGGTGCCAACTGCTCGGCGTTTGCCCAGGAATCGTTTCTCTTTCGCCCCCCGGTCGTGAATTTGGCGCGTGGCTGAGATGTTGCCCCACCCCCTGTTGGGTCACCGCTGTGGCAAAAATACCGATTGATGTTTACCGTGTAGGTCACGGACGGGGGTGTGTGGAGCGTTCTGACCGTAGGTTCACCGTGCTGGGTCATTAGATGGAGTCTTCGTGAACCACCACCCCTCCTCACCCCTCTTTTACAGAAACGAACAAACGGACGGGCAGAGCCTACCCACATGCCAACGTTGCAGAACATTACTTGAAAACTATCATCATCACCATCAAAAACCAAGATTCCACGTATATCATTAACAGACTGTTGGGGCAAGCGCCTATGAAGGCCGGCACGGCACACGAGCGGGTGGGGTGGCCAGCACCACGCCCGGCCGCCTTTGTCTCCCTCGTGGCAATGTTGACACATCGCACCAGCTACTTATTTGAGGCTGAGTCGACCTAGGGGAGGATCAGGATTGGTTCACGTAATCGTCACTGGTGTTGGCCCGTGAGCGGGAATCGAACCCGGGTAGCCAGGTTCGTAGCGCGGCGTGCTAACCGCTACACCACCGCTCCCCATCATCATCATGATCATCATCACGTGACGCACACAATGCATATGGCTCACTCCTGCCAACTCTTGGGGCCATCGTGTGGCTTAAGAAGACCTCACGATGAGACCTCCCTCGGTGGTCATTACTGTGTTTTAACTTTTTGTGCTGCCCGATTGCATTTCGTATATAGGGAGTTTTATAATACATGTTTGTTTTTGGGAACGCAGCAAAAAGGTCACTGCTTGCGAGGGCCTTCTCACAAGACTCTGGGCTCTCGTAAAATAATGAATTTGCTTGGGAACTGTGTCCCACCACCACATCAGGAAAAAAAAAGTAATTCCTCTGCGAAATGTCTTGGCAGCGCCGATGCCATGTAAGGAGCCAGTGGTGTTTTCTAATCAGAGCTAATGAACTCACATACCTCCCTAATGAGTGTTTACCAAAGCGAGCCGCATTGTATATCAGGGTCCCTGCATTGGCAATTTTGTGTAAACAAAAATTTTCCACTTTAAATGTGATCTTAATGTATTATTAGAGTTGCGGTCGTGATTTAATGGGGCTTGCTCCACGATACACCGCCTTGATTTGGTGAAGAGAATGCTTTGGTAAAACTCTAAACTTTTTATTTTATTTTACCAGATAAGGCTCAGTGAGATATACAGCTCTTTGTCAGAAGCGACTTGGCCACAAATGAAAGCTCAACGAAGTGGCTTATCGCGTGGAAATGCATCGCAGCCAAATACTCGAAACACACGTTGATGCTAAAAGTGGAGGGTAAAAAAAACAACGGAGGACCCGGAGAAAAATCCACGCGCCAACAGGGAGAGAAAATAAGTATAACCCGTAAAAACAAAGTTTTTCACTCTAAATCCTTTATATGCGTGGCGGCTAGAGTCCTCTCGTCCTCTGACTTGAGATGGCTGCCACCTATGGGTCAGATGATTGTCTGCAGTATTAAACAATTGGTAATTAAATATTTAATTTGTTTTCCCTAAACAGTGTAAAATTTCGGAATTTTTTTTTCACGAACATGAATTGTCTCGCACAACGAGTCTGTGTGCAAAATGTCAGCTCGATTGGATCACGGGAAGTGGGTTAAAAAACGACCGAAAGGTTTGCACGGTCGTAAGCAAGCAAGCAAGCACGCAAGCAAGCAAGCAAGCGAACTTAATATAAAGGATTTAAAAACACACAAACTCCAAATATACAGCAGGTGTCAGGGTCGGGTTTGAGCCCACGACCTCCCGCACACCAGGCGAGGCGGTTCACATCCCACCACCGATATGCCACGGTGCCCGGGAGCCCTGTGGGTTGTTGGGCTGTCACAGCGGCACTCATACCAGGCAAGGTGCCCCCCGTTGTGGGTATCGAGACGAGTTGCAGCCCCCTTCAACAGCCCGGGCCAAACCAACCACAGTCCGTGAGAGGTGGCGAGACAGGGGGGGGGGGGGGGGGGGCTTGTGGAGGAGGCCTTCATCCAGCAGTAGATTGAGCATGGTTTGGCAATGATGATGATGATGATGAATCTTCTTGGTTCTTTCGGTAATAAAAAAATAAAAAAATAAAAATAATTATTTTATTATGTTGTAATTTTTATTATTTTATTATTTCCATTCTACGTGACTTTACCGAAAGAACCAAGAAGATGAATCCCTGCAGTCACGAAAGCTTTAAATAGAAATTTGATGATGATGATGAAGTTGATGCATGTCACTTGTATAAACGATCAACAATCACACGACGACTCGATCAATAATATATTTTGGGCGTAATAATGCGTTTTAATAGATTGTTACATGGCCAGTTATAATACTTTAGAAATATATAAATCATAAACAAAGGATCTCTCCACAAAAACTAATTATTAAGCTGAGCCCGATTTTGTCTTCTCCGGATTATATGATTCCCTTCCCCTACATGTGTTTAAAGGTAAGAGATAGGGGTGAATCTTATCGTACGTGGCCAACTGCGCGGGTAGCGTGTTACTTTGCGATGCGCGTTATAATCAGGAGGATACGGTAGTTGCTAAAATTAAGTAACCGATCACCTTTGTTCTCACAGAATCTGTACCCTGTAAGAAGATGTATTTCACGTGTCAGACAAAAGTCTTCTTCGGAGTAGAGACGCTGGGTTGTAGTTGAATAATGAAGCTTGAATTTTACACTGAAGGGCTTGGAAATTACAGTGATGGTGGTGATGGTGGCGTTGATCATGGGAGTAATGACCATGATTACATTGCTGCTGCTGATAACGATACAGAAAACGGTTTCCTATCACCCCTGCTCTGATCTAATCCAACAACGACCGTATTCTCCAGATTATAACATGAACTGGAAAGTATTACACAACCCCCGAACTTGTACCCAATGTCAACAAAATTTCAAATCTGGTCAGACACACACAGACAAAGACCCCCCGTATAGCGTTTTAACAGACTGTGGGGGCAAGTGCTGTTAGCGAGCACCTACGAAGGCAGGAACGTTACAGGAGGGGGTGAGTGGCCAGCATCACGACCGACCGCCTTTGTCTCCCCAGTGGCGATGTTTTCGCATAGCACCAGGTACTCATTTGAGGCTGAGTCGTTCTACGAGAGGCCCAGGACCGGTTCAGATAATCGTCACTGGTCCGGTTCAGATAATCGTCACTGGTTTTGGACGTGAGCGGGAATCGAAATTGGGTCGCCCGCTTCGTAGGTCAGACACACGCACGCACCTAAACACTTACTGGATTTTAAAGCTCACCCACGCCGTTTCTGTTCCAATACAGACAGGGTAAAGTGCGTCTTATAATCCTGCTGAAAATGGTTGGTTTCAGTTTTCAGTTTCATTTATTTGGTATAGCCCTGTGAGCCATTCGGCTCTTGAATCGGGTGCAACCGCAACAAACAAAAAACCAAAACATGAACAAGAAAACATCTTAAAGTGACTATGTGACTATGCGCAAACAGAAAAACCCAGGAAAAAACTGCAAAGTCTTCCAGAACGGCAGTGTCACCAAGACGACTCACCGATTGCGCGTGTAGACAGAGGAGGCAGGCGAGCAGTAGACCGCGTGCAGGAGACATGATCGCCTTCGTCCAGCGGCAGAAACCTCGACCCTCACCTTCCACTCTCGTCCACCACCTCCTTCCACTCACTCCCCACGTGACCTCGCACAAGCGCCCCAGTCCTGCTCGACTCTCGCTCTCGAAATCTCCGCTGGCTCGCTCGCTCGCTTGGCCGTCGCCTCGGCCTCTAAGAGAGGACACGCAGGGGGGTAGGAGAGCGGAGGAGGCGGAGAGCGAGGGGGGGATTAGTGGACGAGGGAGTGGGGGAGCGGATGGGTTGACCAGGGATGGGAAGGGGTGGGGGCGGTGTGGGGGGGGGGGGAGGTCATTTCTCGTGGAATTTTGGTCCAGGGACTTCCAACCACTCCACCGAACGGTGTAAATTGAGGAACGTGCTGAGTGAGTATTTGTTGATTTGTGGTTTGTGCACCACTGCCAACGCAGCATCGGCAGCATCACCGGCATACAAGATACAGGGTGGTGTCTATGGGACCTTTGTTTTTGCCAAGTATCAAACTGATGCAACAATATATGAATAGGATTTTACCCTTCCTGGCAATAAAACGGGAGGTTTCGATTTAAAGCTTTCGGGTCTGCAGGGATTCATCTTCTTGGTTCTTTCGGTAAAGTCACGTAGAAAGGAAATAATAAAATAATAAAATTTAAACATAATAAAATAATTTTCACGACGTTTCGGCCACAACGCAAGCAGCCGTCCTCAGGTGAAACCAGGTCTGTCGAGGCGACAGCGTCTGAATGAAACAGCACACGTGCTTGGAGCATATATATAAGCTGGGTTGGAAGAGGGGGGTGAAAGGGTGCGCCTTGACAAAATAATTTCATATCAAGAGGAATACAGCATACCCATGGGAAATGCAGGTAAGTGTGCAAGGCATTAAGTATCCATTAACCACACACAGTGGTGAACATGCAAACAAACATGCTCTGATAATTTCTGCCTTGTTTGCCCTTCACCAGAGACGGCCTTCTTCATGGCCTTCTCTCACCAGTGTCAGACCATAGGGTGGTCCAGGTGTCTTGTGTCCCCATTTAATTCACTGAAACTTCATATATATTTTTAAGTAAGGTTTATTTAAAACAGAAATTAATTTGCAAAGTAAAAAAGAAAATGTTCGGGTTCAATGAAATTGGCGAAGGGGTCACAATACATCTGGACCAGGCTGTACTTTGCGTTGTTTATTTAATTCGCTTTATACGCGACAATTGCGTGTTATAATTTACATGCAAATTACTCGATTGGGATGACACTGGGCAATAATCGCCCCACCCCCACCCACTCACCCTCCCATTAACTCACTCTCACCCCCACTAACACCCCCACCCACTCACCCCCCTCCAACCACTCACCCCCTCACTCACCCCCCACCCACTCACTCACTCACCCCCCATCCACCCCCCCCCCCCATCAACTCACCTCCATCCCCACGAAACCCCCCCCCCCACTCACCACCCTCCACCCACTCACCTCCCTCCACCCACCCACTCACTCACCCCCCACCCACTCACCCCCCCCCCCCCACTCACTGACCCCACTCACCCCCCCACCCACTCACCCCCCCACTCACCCCCCCCCCCACCCACTCACCCCCCACCCACTCACACCCCCACCCACTGACCCCCTACCCACTGACCCCCCCACCCACTGACCCCACCCCCCCCCCCCCACAACCCTCCTATGAAAACTTGCATCTTGGCAGGACCCTTCTGAATAAGAGCCACGAGACTCAGTGAGGCTTTCCTGGACAATCGAGTAATGCACGATTCACCGCACGTGCAATGGATATCAATGGACGACTCGATGCACCGTTACACGCCTACCCAGTACGGCAATGATGGAGCGCTTAGAGAACGTTGGTCCAGCCGCGGCACGCTTACTGGGTTACCGTCAGTGAACACTTTTCTCATTCAATAATAATTGTAATTTTATAAAGCGCCCTTAAACAAGAGTTCTCAGGGCCAAATAACCAAAGTCTCCAAGCTCACAAGCCACAACAGTAGTGCGATTGTGGCCGAGCGAGTCCAACTATGAACCCACAGAGACACGATACAGATGTAGTGGTGTTAACTACTCGCTCTTCGCAAACTGTGAGAGAGCGGATCGCAAACAAGGTTGTCCCAGCTTATATATATGCTCCAAGCTCGTGTGCTGTTTCATTCAGACTCTGTCGCCTCGACGGACCTGGTGTTTCACCTGAGGACGGCTGCTTGCGTTGTGGCCGAAACGTCGTGAGAATAATATTTATTATGTTTTATTTTTATTATTTTATTACTTCCCTTCTACGTGACTTTACCGAAAGAACCAAGAAGAAGAAGGTTGTCCCGCTCAATCAAACGGCCAGGGTCAAATGGGGTGAGGTAGGATCCAAACGCCAGATTGGGAAGGACCAATCGGAGGGTCCCACAAGGTGGCCGGGGATTGGACAACCCGGCCACGAACAGGTATAAAAGCCAGAGCGCTGAGAGCTCTTGGCCAGTTCTGCTACACGAAGACCCAAGTCGCCCGAAGACATCTAGGACCCTGGACCAAGCCCTCCAGCCCTTGTCAGGGCTCGGGCTCAGAGTAACCAGTGATCGGGGAGAGATCCCCTAGGTCCAGCCAGAGGACGCTGGGAGAGCAGGGAGATTAGACAGCCTGCAAGGTCCAGAGGCTGTGTCTCCTCAGGGTAACGGGTGAGGGGACCATATTAGCCCCTTTGTGTGATAGGGACTGTGTGTTAAGATAATAAACAGTGTGTGCCATAAAGAAGTTTAGAAGTCCGTCCTTTACAACACTACACAGAGAACCCACGGAGATCCGTCTGGCAAGCCGCAGTGGAAGAGTGAACGCTCATTGTAACCATCAACGCATGGCGCCCTCTGGCGATAAGCAAGCATGTCAGAGATTTATTTCATTGATTCATTCATCACCGAATCATAGGGGCCGTCCATAAATGACGTCACGCGATTTTGGCCGATTTTTGACCCCCCGTCCCCCTTCGTCACACGGCGTCACAAAAAGTCAGACCCCCCCTCAAATATGACGTCACAAAGCTCTGCCCCCCCCCCCCCAAAATAAAACATGCTTCAAATCGCTTTAAACTATTGTCATTGTAGTGCGTATTTAATGTGGCGCTGCACTCTGATGCTGTAGGAGAAAACATGTATTAAATAGTATATTTAATTAAGTAGAACGTGTTGTCTATATTTATTTAAAGTTGCGCATTTTGATGTGACGTCACAATTCTCACCCCTCCCCCTCGTCACACATCGTCACAAATGTCTGACCCCCCCCCCCCCTAGGTGCGTGGCGTCATTTATGGACGGCCCCATAGCCGAGCGAAGGACAGTGTGCGACCTCTTCCGATAACATTTGCATCAACTGCTCTTGGCTGCCATACAACCGGCGCGTGTCTCTAGTGATTTGTGTGATTCACGGATCACGGGGTGGGGGGGGGGGGGCGACCACGAGGGGGGGGAGAGGAGGGGGGCAGCTTCATTCCTTTGATCAGGGGAGGGGGCGGGGGGGTCGCAGTCTCCCCAACTTGAAACATCAAAGTGCAGCGTAATCATTATTTTTGCCGCAGGAGTTTGCGCATCGAGATGGTCGGGCAATCGTGGGCCCACCGAGTGACAGCCACAGCAGCCGTCTCCAACTCAAACCGACCTCTCGTTCGCCCTCAGATGCAACGGTGACATTTCTGACGGAGTCGAACCCATCGGATCCACGTGCCCAGCTACATTAAGGCACGGTACTGCGTTTCATTTTAAGAACGACGTCACACGAATGTTGGCTTGTTATTTGACACTGTTATCCCTATTCTTAGGTTTTGTCGATAAAGTCACGTAGGTAAAAAAATTGTATTAATAAAAGTAAAATAAAATAAAAATCACGACGTTTCGGAGGCAACACAAGCTTCCGTCTTCAGATGGAACCGTCACAGCACGATAGCTGTATTAAGCTATAGCCGAATCAAGCTATCGTGCTGTGACGGTTCCACCTGAAGACGGAAGCTTGTGTTGCAAGCTATAGCTTGTGTAGCCTCCGAAACGTCGTGATTTTTATTTTTTATTTTACTTTTATTCATTTAATTTTTTAGCTACGTGACTTTACCGAAGAAAACCTAACAATATGAATCCTTGCAGTCACGAAAGCTTCAAATATAGAACTGTTATCCCTCTCGCAATCTCAATTGTGCTCTCCGAGGTCACGTGGCCAAGGAACCAAGTCCACGCGGAGCTCCCGCCAGCTGGTCGTGAACCAACGTGCCAGGCGACGGGCACGCGGAAGGGGATGTCAAAGAACTACTTCTGAAGCGACTCTTCTCGTCGCGTATTGCCGCGTGTAAACATTCGCGTGGAGCATCTCCGCCTCGCGCGCCCTGCCAATGGCGTCCCCAGCACGTGGCGCGATCCGACAGTTTGCAACGTCGACGGCTTCAAGCGACGGAGACGATTTGTCTAAATCTCTCGGCAGTCGCCTCTGTCCACCCAGCAGCGTGAGTGGGTTCACCGCAGAGGTCGTAACCGGGTACCCGATACCCGTACCCTACCCGATACCCTGCTACCCGTACCCGGCCGGGTACGGGTAGCCGTTTGTGACCCTGGTGCGGCCGGGTACGGGTACGGATAGGCCGTGAGTCACTGGTGAGTAGCCGTTTGTCACTCATTTCGGGTAGTGTACGGGTACGGGTAAGGAACGGGTACCCGTACCCAGCCGGTTACGGGTACGGGTCGCCGTTTGCGACCCTGGTGCGGCCAGGTACGGGTACGGGTAAAAAATCAAAACCCGTTTGCGACCTCTGATTCACCGTCGTTGATCGAACTGCAGGTCGCCTGCAGTTGGTTGGGTTTGGTGTCGCTACTGCCACCTCTTGCAAAACGTGGAAGAGTAGGCCAAAATACCCTCCAGAGCTACTCTCTGCGTTACTGCCAAGCGGAGGCCCCTTTGCCGGAAAGACGTGAGTAAGACACCCTCCCTGTCTCGTTTCCGCTCCCCCCTCAAGGCGTCCACCTCTTATTCTTGGGTTCTTTCGGTAAAGTAACGTATAAAGATAAAATAATAAATTAAATACTAGCATACGACGTTTCGATTGCAATACAAACAATCATCATCAGGTATAAATGAAATAGAAACACAAATCTAGTATACTTAGAAATGTAATGTAATACAACAAAGAGTCGGATAACATAACAGTCAACACCCTACCTGGTTGATTACGTTCTTCAAATGTAGCATTCTCAGGAAGAACGTAATCAACCAGGTAGGGTGTTGATTGTTATGTTCTCCGACTCTCTGTTGTATTACATTACATTTCTAAGTATACTAGATTTGTGTTTCTATTTCATTTATACCTGATGATGATTGCTTGTGTTGCAATAGAAACGTCGTATGCTAGTATTTAATTTAATTTATTATTTTATCTTGATACGTGACTTTACCGAAAGAACCAAAGAATCATTCCTGCAGTCACGAAAGCTCCAAATTAAGTTTTCCCCCACCTCTTCTCCCTGGCCCATCCTTCCCCCCATCCTTAGGCACCCCCCATAATTCCGGTACCCACGATCCGTCCACCATATACTCCATCCCTATTCACCGTATCATTTTAGTTACCCTTATTGTACCACTCAGAACTGTTGTGAAGCGGCTTGGATAAAAGCGCTAATTGAATACAAGATAATATATTCATTTAACATAAGTCTCCAAGGCCAACAGGCCGATGGACTCCAAATATATTTTAATTTTTGCATTTCATCGTCTTGAAATAGGTCACGACTTAGCCACAGTGGTTAATATATCGTAGTTTCACAATTCTATATTTAGCTTATATGTAATTCCACTGCTCGATGAAAGCCTCCCCATGGGGTTTGTCTCGCCTGACGACTTCACCACGCAGGTCAATGTGGGTTGCTGAAAGCAAGGCAACGCACGGCGTGGCCGGGAATCGAACTTGGGTGGTGGCTGTGCACGCCACAGTGCAGTGCGGCAACCACTGCACCACCGCTCCCAAATCATCCCACCACTGCTGGATGAAAGCCTCCCAAAAACACCGCCACCGTCCCTTCAAGGCAAACAACACACTAAATATTTAACTTTCCGATATTTGCCATTCTCTACCTGGACTGACACGTAAACCGCACGCCAAGAGCTCACGGCTCGTACAAATACTTTGTTTAATCCGAAATGAAAGTATCTGCTATTTGTTCGGCGGCGGCGGCGGGGGGGGGGGGTCACGTTTGACAGCACCGGTGTACACATCGCTGTGCGAGCACATTAGCCGCCGAGCGAGGCAGAGTTTGAGTTCGACTTGAGGTCAGGGTCGGCTCGCAGCACCCGGACGAACGCAAGCAGTGCTGGCGCTAAGCGCTAGCGGATACTAAACAAAGCCCGAGGCCCCAAGCAGGCCAAAGGGCCCCAAATTTTATGGAAAATTAATTTACGCGCACCACATATCCACTGGCTGCATCTACATTATCGTTCCTTACCACTCGTCTATAGCTACGACTGTTGCCATGATCACCGTTCCCATGAACTTAACTCATGTTGAAGACTTGATCTTCCAGACTGACAGTTGCATGGCACCCACAATGTGTTCAACCAACACAACTACAGGTCCACGACAACACACTCAGCCACTCACTCACCTAGCCACTCACTCGTCTACACACTCACCCGCCCACCCACTCACTCTACCCAATCACCAACTCACTCACCTACCCACTCACTCGCCTTCCCACGAACTTCATCTACCCACTAACTCACCCGCCCACCCACTCACCCACCCACTCACCCACCCACTCGTTCATCTACCCCAGGGGTCCTCAAACTATGGCCCGCGGGCCACATGCGGCCCGCCGAGGACATTTATCCGGCCCGCCGGGTGTTTTTGCCGCCGCTGCCTGTCTGTTACTTTTTTTTACATGAGAAGGACGGTCATTGGTGGAAGAGGGAGAGGGGGCGGAGTTCCCCCCAATCAGACTGCATTGATGGGCAGTGCAGTCTGTATGTCTCTGTGTGGGCAAAGTTATTGCTGGTATATTGTTTTTGTAGCGCTGTATATATATTGGTATTTTACTAATAGCAATTTTGACTACCTAGGAAACAATGATGTCAAGAAAGAGAAAAATTGACTCGGAGTGTAGGATATTCAAAGAACAGTGGACTTATGATTACTTTTTCATGCAGTACAAGGAAAGAGCTGTGTGTCTGATATGCCAGAATATAGTGTCTGTGCTCAAAGAATACAATTTACGTCGACACTATGAAACTCAACATAAAAATAAATATGATTGTTTGGTCGGAGAAGTGAGAAAAGATAAAATATTAAAACTGAAAAATACATTAACAACTCAGGAAAATACTTTTGTGAAGCAGAAGCAGCTAAATATTTCATCACTGCGAGCAAGTTTTCAAGTTGCCAAGCTAATAGCGTGCACTGGCAGACCATTCGTGGAGGGAGAATTTGTTAAAGAATGCCTTCTTTCTGTTGCCAAAGAGATGTGTCCAGAGAAGGCCGATTTAGTTAGTACAGTGAGTCTTTCAGGACCTACAATTACACGGAGGATTGAAGAAATGGGAGACAATTTGCATCAGCATTTGCAAAACTCCACAAAAAAACTTTCCTATTTTTCCTTGGCACTCGACAAAAGCAATGATGTTCGTGATTCTGCACAACTTCTAATTTTTATTCGTGGGACGAATGACTATTTCGAAGTCACAGAAGAGCTTGCTGCACTGCAAAGCATCAAAGGAACAACTACAGGAGAGGATATCTATGAAAAGGTTTGCCAAACTGTGAATGGTTTGAAGCTGAACTGGGCTAAACTAGCCAGTGTGACAACTGATGGTGCTCCTAGCATGGTGGGGTCTAAGAAAGGAGTAATTGCTCGCATTAACCAAGAGATGGACAAACATAACCATTCTCATCCAATAGCCATACACTGCCTCATCCACCAACAAGCGCTGTGTAGTAAATCACTGAAGTGGGACTCTGTTATGAAATTTGTGGTATCTTGTGTTAACTTCATTAGAGCTCATGCACTAAACCACAGACAATTTCAGGAATTTCTGTCTGAGCTAAATGTTGACTATGAAGATGTTCTGTATCACACAGAAGTCCGTTGGCTGAGTCGAGGGAGAGTTTTGAAACGTTTCTATGACTTACTTCCACAGATTACAGCTTTTCTGCTTTAAAAAAAACAAAAACGTACCAGAGCTCAATGATGCAGAATGGAAATGGCACCTTGCCTTTCTGACAGATGTAACAGAGCTACTCAACAGTTTCAATGTGCAACTTCAAGGAAAGGGGAAGCTCATCTGTGATATGCAATCACATGTCAAAGCATTTGAAGTAAAATTAGGCCTCCTCATCAAACAAGTGAAGGAGGAAAACTTCTGCCATCTCCCCACAACTCAAAATCTGTTAGCGGAAAAACCATTGGTTGCATTCCCAAACAAAACATGTGTGGATTCACTGGAAAAATTGCAAAAGGAGTTCCAATTTAGATTTAAAGAGCTTCATCTCCATGAACAGGACATACAGCTTTTCCGTAACCCATTTTCTATTGACATTGAAAATGTGAATACAATTTACCAAATGGAACTGGCTGAACTGCAGAATTGTGACTCTCTGAAAGACGCATTCAAGTCAAGCAGCCTTCATAATTTCTATGCATCTCTCCCCTCTGAGACATATCATCATCTCAGGAACCATGCACTCAAAATGGCAACCATCTTTGACAGCACTTATGTCTGTGAACAGACTTTTTCCAGAATGAAACATTTGAAATCTCCAACCAGATCTAGACTAACGGATGCACACTTGCATCACTTGTTACGACTAGCAGTGACAAATATGGAACCGGACATTGACCATTTCATTAGCCAAAAGCAGGCCCATAGTTCCCATTGAAATACTGGCAAGTTTGTTGATTTAACTTTACTTGTTCTTCATTTTAAATATTGTATATGTTCCCGTTTTGTTTCTTCACTTCAAAATAAGATATATGCAGTGTGCATAGGAATTTGTTCATAGTTTTTTTAAACTATAGTCCGGCCCTCCAACGGTCTGAGGGACAGTGAACTGGCCCCCTGTTTAAAAAGTTTGAGGACCCCTGATCTACCCACTCACCCACTCACTCACCCGCCCACCCACTCATCTACCCACTCACCCACCCACTCAACTCATCTACCCACTCACCCACTTCCTCACTCACCCACCCACTCATTCATCTACCCACTCATTCATCTACCCACTAACATCATCTACTCACTCACTCACCCGCCCACCCACTCACCCACCCACTCACCCACACACTCGTTCATCTACCCACTCACCCACTCACTCACCCGCCCACCCACTCATCTAACCACTCACCCACCCACTCAACTCATCTACCCACTCACCCACTCCCTCACTCACCCACCCACTCATTCATCTACCCACTCATTAATCTACCCACTAACATCATCTACTCACTCACTCACCCGCCCACCCACTCACCCACCCACTCACCCACCCACTCGTTCATCTACCCACTCACCCACCCACTCACCCACTCACTCACCCGCCCACCCACTCACCCACCCACTCACCCACCCACTCGTTCATCTACCCACTCACCCACTCATCTACCCACTCCCTCACTCACCCACCCACTCATTCATCTACCCACTCATTAATCTACCCACAAACATCATCTACTCACTCACCCGCCCACCCACTCACCTACCCACTCACTCATCTACCCACTCACCCGCCCACCCACGCACTCATCTACCCACTCACCCACTCACTCACCCACCCACCCACTCATCTACCCACTCCCTCACTCACCCACCCACTCATTCATCTATCCACTCATTAATCTACCCACTAACATCATCTACTCACTCACTCACCCGCCCACCCACTCACCTACCCACTCACTCATCTACCCACTCACCCGCCCACCCACGCACTCATCTACCCACTCGCCGACTCGCCCGCCCACCTACTCAATTCATCTATCCACTCACCCACTCCCTCACTCACCCACCCACTCATCTACCCACTCCCTCACTCACCCACCCACTCACTCATCTACCCACTCACCATCACACACACACTCATCTACCCACTCGCCGACTCGCCCGCCCACCTACTCAATTCATCTATCCACTCACCCACTCCCTCACTCACCCACCCACTCATCTACCCACTCCCTCACTCACCCACCCACTCACTCATCTACCCACTCACCATCACACACACACTCATCTACCCACTCGCCGACTCGCCCGCCCACCTACTCAATTCATCTATCCACTCACCCACTCCCTCACTCACCCACCCACTCATCTACCCACTCCCACACTCACCCACCCACTCACTCATCTACCCACTCACCATCACACACACACTCACGCACTGCAGGGGGAGGACACACAAACATCACACAGAAAGGCGCCCGAGTCGGGCATCTACCTTGGCGGCCATCTTGCCGCGAGGCACGACTCTTACACCACTACCACCACCATTCTTATGTTACAGCCCCCTTGTTTCTCACATCCACTGCTGGATGAAGGCCTCTCCCATCGGCTGTGACGTCGCTGGGGCTGTTTAGCCATACTTCACCGCGGGGGTCCGTGCGGGTTGGCGATGGTGGCCTGCAGGGTGGTTGCACGGAGACCGATTGCACGGGGACCGGTTGCACGGGGACCAATTGCACGGGGACCGGTTGCATGGGGACCGATTGCACATGGACCGGTTGCACGGAGACCGATTGCATGGGGACCGGTTGCATGTGGACCAGTTGCACGTGGACCGGTTGCACGGGGACCGGTTGCACGGGGACCGATTGCATGGGGACCAGTTGCACGTGGACCGGTTGCACGGGGACCGGTTGCATGGGGACCGGTTGCATGAGAACCAGTTGCACGGGGACCGGTTGCATGGGGACCGATTGCACGGGGACCAGTTGCACGGGGACCGGTTGCATGGGGACTGATTGCACGGGGATCAGTTGCACGGGGACCGGTTGCACGGGGACCGATTTAACGGGGACCAATTGCACGTGGACCGATTGCATGGGGACCGGTTTAGATGCCCCAGTTGGTTCTCAACCTTTCTCGGCAAACCTGTAGCCCCCCCTCTCCCCCCCCCCCTTGTTGAACTTACAAACGAGGCGTTACCCCCGCTTGACCCAACATGGCTTCTGATGACTAAATGTATGAATGATGAGCATCAATATTTCTCACTACTTTGTGAGCCATCATTTAGTAGCTAGGAACTGCAAGAAAATGCAAATTACATGTAAACGGGCGCTCTGCGTGCGCGGGGCGATGCGGTCGCCGTCGCTGGCTACTCTAGCGTTGGTGTACGACGCTTTTTGTGGAATATTTTGCCGTTTTTTCCTGGATTTTCTGTTTGCACATAGTCACATAGTCATTTTAAGATGTTTTCTTGTTCATGTTTTTGTCTTTTGTTTGTTGCGGTTGCACCCGATTCAAGAGCCGAATGGCTCACAGGGCTATACCTAATAAATTAAACTGAAACTTGGAAACCCGCATTGGTTACGAGCACTGACTTTACAAAGGTCGTTAATTTCGCTCTCGGTTCCAATGTAGATTAAAATGTTATTGTAGTTCATTTATACGGACAGATTCACACGGCAAGATTTTCAACAGTGACTCTCACGTATGATACAAGTTCACAGGTTTATCCGTCACCTCACGTGCGTTCCCACTCTGTATGGGATAGAGTTGATCTCTCACTCTGTATGGGGTTGAGTTGATCTCCCACTCTGTATGGGATAGAGTTGATCTCTCACTCTGTATGGGGTTGAGTTGATCTCCCAATCTGTATGGGATAGAGTTGATCTCTCACTCTGTATGGGATAGAGTTGATCTCTCACTCTGTATGGGATAGAGTTGATCTCTCACTCTGTATGGGATAAAGTTGCTCACCCACTCTGTATGGGATATAGTTGATCTCTCACTCTGTATGGGATAGAGTTGATCTCTCACTCTGTATGGGATAGAGTTGCTCTCCCACTCTGTATGGGATAGAGTTGATCTCCCACTCTGTATGGGATAGAGTTGATCTCCCACTCTGTATGGGGTTGAGTTGATCTCTCACTCTGTATGGGATAGAGTTGATCTCTCACTCTGTATAGGGTAGAGTGCTCTACCACTCTCGCTCGTGGGCGTTATCTGGGGCGCTCTGGTTCTCTTCCAAATGTATAAACATTGACCTAGAGAACCGCAGATCTTGGGCAATTGTTGGTAGCTGGCTGGCTCACTGGCTGGGCAGCTGCCGGTTTCCCGTTTTTTTCTGCGGTTACTCTGCGATTGTGAGATGCAATTTGCATGAACGATGACTCTACTTCTCCATATCTCCACATATATATATAAAAAAACTAAACATTCATATGTTGTTATGATTATACTGCTGGTTAGATAGAAACGCGGAGGAGAGGGGAGGGTGCGAATTTAGAACCTAGTCAATTGTTTCTGCCGGGGCATTGAACCAGCGAACTCTAGTCTAGTGTACTCATAGCTATACACCACAGCAGCAGTCGTAATGTTTGGTCGACATACAGGGTGCTTCAAAAAATGCTTACACTTAAATGGAACTATTGTTTTTTTTATGGAAAAATAACTGACAATACACTGTAACATGATAACAAATGTAACGGTAATAGCTTCAAAAAGTCAAAGAGTCTCCACTTGTTCGCCATCATTGCCAACGCGTGCCTGGAATCTTCTCCATGTGGTCTCAGAAGTGTTAAAACAATTCTTGAATCACCCTGTATGACTCGTGTACATCGTACTCGGTTAACGCATGCCATTCATAGGCCCCCATACGCCGTGCTTTTTCACATCGAAAAATGGCTTAACTTAAACAATTTCTGGTTCCTGCTGATAAGGACTGTGGAGCGAGAGGGGGGGGGGTCGTTGCCTAAGAGTCGGCGACCACAAACAGAATTAGTCGACAGAGTTTGCTGTCGCAGTCAGCTCGCTCTTCGTTTTGCATCTGGTCTCGTGTGTGTGTGTGTGTTGAGGAGTCAGGGAGCAAGTGACGCCATGCATCTGTACCTGCCACCACTGCTGCTGCTGCTCACCTGTGCTCGTCTCTCGCAAGGTAAAAGCGCGGCACACAGCGGCTTTCGTCACCTTCGCCCGCAAAGACAAAGATCGGCCGTATCGTCTGAACAGAACTGTTTTCGGGCAAGTGCCGTTAGCGAGCAGGGCACACGAGCGTGGGTGGGTGGCCAGCACCACGCCCGGTCGCCTTTGTTTCCCCCGAACCCCCCCCCCCCCTCAGCGCCGATGTTTTTTTTTACACACCGCACCGGGTACTCGTTTAAGGCTGAGTCGACCTAGGGGAGGCCCAGGACCGGTTCAGATAATGTTCACTGGCGTTGGCCTTGAGGGGGGAAATCGAACTTTGGTGGCCGGGTTCGTAGGGCAGCGACCTCACCGCCACACTATACCGCTCACCACTCACACACACGTATAATATTAGAATTGTTATTATTATACACGGTGATCCATTGACAGATGCGCCACTCAAATGATTGTGAAGAGGAGACTTGAGCTGGGTTAAGAAGGATCTTTATTGTCGAGGCAAACTCACACCACGCTTCCACTCGTCAACAAAAACCAACCCCGAAACCCTCCAACTCCGTTCTCTATTACGCCAATCCCCTTCTCGGTTTTTCCCACCCTTTGTTAATCCTTCTCGCACCACTACGATCAGGAGTGTCCTCCACTAAATCGTCGCATTGTGTGTGTCGTGCACGGCAGTGCTCCCGCGACCGCCTGACCCTTAACCCGAGGTTGCGTGGCGTTTGTGTGTGAGGACGTCCCGACCATCCTCTACAATTGTAGAGGTGCGGGCACCTGACAAATGTACATTCTGGGGCAGCTGCTGGGGGAAACGGCCTCCCCGTGAGAGGGAGCTCTGTGGGGGGGGGGGGGGGGGCTACTTTGGCCTACACCTCCAACGCTGACCAAAGTTTTTTGCAAGAGGGAGGAGGACCCACACACTTTACACCGACATACGCGACCGGCTAGCCGATCGCAGCTAGCCGATCGCGGCCGGCTAGCTGTGGAGTGAGTACATCATTTATTTTGCTGGGTGGATAGAGGACAGAGTGGGGGTTCGGGGGGGTGAATTTAAGAAACTTACCCCCCTTATTTCAACTGCCACAGAGCTCACAAACGCGGCACTGGGTATACAGCAGATGACAACACGCATTCTGACTTTGATAAAAAAACAAAATAGGTGATGGAATAAACTGCGTCTATTTGTTTCACCCCTTTAGTTATTCCTTACCGACGGAGTTTGACCGCTGTACATTCTGGTGTCATCAAGACATTCCATAGCGTGAGCCCCATTCCCCGTGCCATATTTAATAAATTATCGTTACGATAAATGACGTTTAACATTTAGCTGTTTTTTTTTTTAAACGGCTGCCCGCAAAATGAGGGCACTCGGAGAGCCGCAAGGCGAGGGAGGGGAGAGACTAAGTGAAAGAGCCACCACAGGTTGCTGACTCCTGGGCCTATCCCAAAGGCACACAAAGAAAGGCCCCCTGCGTGACAGGTTTGAACGACTGCAAGTCTCGTGGAATTTGGGCCACAAAAAAAAACAATTCACACGTCAAAATGCACAGAGAGGCGGGTGTACAACCGAACGATGTTATGCGAGAACCGGACAGCTGACAATTTGGTACTTATATTATTTGAGTCCACGCTCATATTTAGCAGCATCGTCAAACAAGAAGGCCCGGGAGTTTGATTAGTTTCAGTCATGGGGCAGAGTCATCCCAACGTTCTAAATCGCCTGGAGTCTCTACGCTAATCACTTACAAATATACGATCCAAATATCGTCAGCCATCCTAGTAATTGCCTCGTGTAGCGTGCGGAGCCTAAACCGCTAGGAAGCACGTACATACTGCAGAATTGAAACAATCAAACTCTATATAGAGTACTACAAGTGCACAATTGTGTATTTTAACCATCAGCAAATAAAAAATGCTGAAATGCAGATGTAGACGTTTCTTACGCTGTATTTTACCCCACAGTTGATGACATCGAATTTTAAAAGTTGCGTTCCAGTACTTGAGATTATTTAGATGATTTCGCTGCTGTAAATGTTCACGTGACAAGCAACTTTGTTGAGCTATCATTTGTGGCCAGGTCGCTTCTGAAAAGCAGCTGCATAGCTCAGTGGGCCTTAACTGCTAAGATATACAATAACTTAATTTGTATATTTTTAAGTGATTTGTTTATTTTTCCTATACTTTGTACGCTTATTGTGATGTTGTACTATTTGTTGTTGTCAAGTTCTTACCCGCCCCTACTAGACTTCTGTATAAAAAAGCTTAATAGCTCATCGGATTCCTTTCGGATAAATATTTTCATTGGAATCAGAGGGCACTTCAGAGAATTCCCCAATTATGAAATTCTGACATTTGTGAGCTGCTGTCACTGTGAACAAAACAGTTTGTTATTCACTTGGTAACACACGAGGTCACCCATCCAGTGATTCATTCACCCATTCACTTATCCATTAATTCACTTACTCACCCTATCCTGCCAAACTCGTTAATTCACTGACTCAACCATTAATTCACGTCTCATTCACTCACGCATTCACCCACTCACTCATTCACTCACCCTTACACTCACTTATCACTCCATTCCCCCATCCACTCACCCCTAACCATACTCATTCACTAACTTCGTATCGTACATATGATGATACATTATCTTTGTATTGCACAGTCGCATGCACGATACAGAGATAATGATCCCCTATGTGGTTCTACATACCTCAGAGGCAAGTGCTGTTAGTTAGCTCCCATTAAGGACACATTGGCATAGAATTACGTGGGGTATCCAGAACCACTTCTGACCGCCTTTGTCTCCCCAGTGTTGATCTTTATACACTTCTACACTTGGCAGTATTCAGGACAGGTTCCAATATATTACTAATATTAGCCATGACTGGAAGTTGAACCCAGGTTACTGGGTTTGAAGGCCACTTTCAAAGGCAAAGATCCTCGTATAGCCTTAACAAACTTTTCGAGGCAAGTGCCGTTAGCAAGCATCTATGGAGGTCGGAAACAACACGCGAGAGGGTGGGTGACCAGCACCACGCCCGACCGCCTTTGTCTCCCGAGTGGCTATATATTTACACACCTCACCAGGTACTGTACCAGTTTAAAACTGAGTCGACCTAGGGGAGGCCCCGGACGGGTTCAGATAATTGTCCCTAGTGTTGGCCGTGAGTGAGTTCGATTCCCGCTCACGGCCAACACCAACGACTATTATTGAAGCCAGTCCTGTATCTGGTGAGATGTGGAAGCATCGCCAGTGGGGAGACAAAGGCGGCCGGTCGTGCTGATGGCCAACCACCTCATCGCGTGCTGTGCCGACCTCTATAGGTGCTCGTGAACAGCACTTGCTCCAAAAAGTATGTTTAGGCTATACGGGGATCTTTGTCTTGTTTTTCTATCATCATCATCATCAGCCATGTTCAAACTGAAATAAGAATAATACTGGTAGGAACCTCCTGGTTACACCAGCCCACAGGGGATTATTGTTTCCGTCGTGCAGGGAGGGGCTGGGTGGGGAGGGAGGGGCTGGGCGGGGAGGGGAGGGTGGGGCTGGGTGGGGAGGGGCTGGTCACCCCGGGTGCCCTTATAAAACTCAACGTTTAACCTACTCACGCCGGCTTGTGCCCGCCATCACAGTCGGGCATATTTGCGTAATACACCACGCCACCGTTGACCCTGGCCATTGACCGAGCAACCCAACGTTCCTACCAGCTCCCTCCGCAAGAATGTGTTAACGATAGCAGAGATAATGACAATGTGAGTGGTCCGTAGATTTGTATGAAACGCATGGAGTACTAACCGATATAAAAAAAAAAACAATTGGCACATCGTAGTGCCACATTATTTAAACGGCAGATGCCTTCGCAGTGTGACTCCTCACGACCTTCTCTCGACACCAAGATGCAGGACTTGTCACATTTGCAGCGTGACCTCCGCCGTCTCCTTCAAGGGACACTTAACAACTCACCTCTATAGTCTTAGGTTTTTTCGGTAAAGTCACGTAGGTAATTTTACCGAAAAAAACCCAAGAGTATGAATCCTTGCAGTCACGAAAGCTTCAAATCTAGAATCACCTCTACAGCCTGACTTTCGAGTGACTCTGAGCTGCGGCCGTATCCGCAAATGTTTGCGTGTGTTACAAATCGCATCATCATCATCATCAATCAATCGCCCAATTGACACGCACCGCGCATCGATAATCCGGTGCCACCCCCCCCCTCCCGTTGCGTTCGAGCCGCCGTAGGCCCGTTACACAACTCGCGAGGAGGAAACTCAGAGGCGTGCGGTCACTGTCAATCCTCGACAGCTGTCATCACAGGAAACAGCCGTACACATGTGGTCCGCATTGCGATGGCAGCGTGCGCTCGAGACACGATAATAGCAAGCGTCGCCGTTGTCGTCCTCGTCGTCGTAATTATTACCCATCATCATCACCATCATCACCATAATTTGGAGTTTGCGTGTCTCTCTCTTTCCCCGTGGTCGCGTGGAATTGTCTCCGGGTCCTCCGGCTTTGCCCTCCTCGTGTAGAATCAACGGCAACGCGCTTCGAATATTTGGCTGCGATGCATTGCCACGTGATGAGCCACTTTCGTTGAGATATCGTTTGTGACCGGGTCGCTTCTGAAAGAGAGCTACGTAGCTCAAGTGGGCCTTACCTGGTTAAAATTAAAAAGAGTTTAGTTTTTAATTTAGATTTAACGCTTTCGTGACTGTAGGAATTCAAATTATTGGTTCTTTCGGTAAAGTCACGTAGAAGGGAAATGATAAAATAATATTAATATAATATATTTCCTTTCTACGTGACTTTACTGAAAGAACCAAGAATATAGTTTAGTTTAAGTGTACCGTCATCGTAATTATAGTCCTTAATCGAATCATCATATTAATTAATCTCATTATCGTCAATCATTGCAATTACTATTACGATAATCATCAATTGTCTTTATTCCCTTTACCTAAAACAGCCTTTGAAGTCTCAGGAACCTTTGTACGGAAGGCACTGCTACATTGGCATATTTGGCCAATTCCACAAATGAGTGAGTGCTTGGCTCCTCGCAAGAGGAAACCGGGGTGATACCCACAGACTCGGCCGCACACACAGCCCAGCTGATTTGTGAGTTTCACAAATCTCTGCCCCATCCAGCAAAACCATTTCCCCTAAAGGCACCGGATCACCGGCGTCTGTCACCATCACGCTAAGCTTATCATCAACACCTGCACCACATTCATCATCATCATCATCACCACCTGCACCACAATCATCATCATCATCACCACCTGCACCACAATCATCATCACCACCTGCACCACAATCATCATCATCAACTCCTCACCTCATCGCCTGACGTCAGAGCGTAGGAGGAAGCGAGTGTTGTTACGCGTGAGGCGTGTGGTCACACGCAAGCTGCACTTGCTCAATGACGGTGGTGAAACCCCGCGGTAAACGCGCATCCTGCACGCCGACGCGAAGCCACAGCGCGTCCTCGACACCACGCCCGACCTCATTTGAGGCTGAGTCGACCCAGGGGAGGCCCAGCACCGGTTCATATAATCGTCATCGGTGTTGGCCCCTGAGCAGGAATCGAACTCTGGTCGCTGGGTTCGTAACGCAGCGCGCTATCCGCTACGCTATCGCTATGGCGACAAAAGACAAAGATCCCCCGTGTAGCCTTAACAGATTGTTGGGGCAAGTGCTGTTAGCGAGCACCTATAAAGGCCGCAACGGCACACGAGGGGGTGGGTGGCCAGCACCACGCCCGACCGCCTTCGTCTCCCTAGTCGCGATGTTTACACACCGGAACCAGGTACTCATTTGAGACTGAGTCGGCCTAGGGGAGGCCCAGAACCGGTTCAGATAATCGTCACCGGTGTTGGCCATTAGCAGAAACGGAACTCGGGCGGCCGGGTTCATAGCGCAGCACGCTGACCGCTACACCACCGCTATGGCAACACACATGTATACACAAACACACACATACACCAAACTAGAGAGGTCTGGGTGTAATTATTTGACCTGTAGGTATAAAGTTGCGGGCGTAAAAAAAAATATTTTTCCGACACCGCAAGAGAGCAGGCACGCGTACTGGCGAGTAGATTCTATCGGTTCATTTCTTGCACACACAAAAAACACAACGCGCATATTCAATCTTGACTTAAAGCTTTCGTGACTGCATGAATTCATATTCTTTGGGTCTATCGGTAAAGTCACGTAGATAGGTTCAGATAAAATAACAGAAAACTAAAACTGCACCTGAAGACGGTCGATTGTGTTGCGATCGAAACGTCGTAGTTTTTGTTTTTTTGTTATTTTCTTTGAACCTATCTACGTGACTTTACCGAAAGACCCAAAGAATAAATTTCGATTTAAGGCTTTCGTGACTGCAGGGATTCATCTTCTTGGTTCTTTCGGTAAAGTCACGTAGAATGTAAATATTAAAATAATAAAAATTAAACATAATAAAATAATTCTCACGTTTCGGCCACAACGCAAGCAGCCGTCCTCAGGTAGAGAACAGGTCTGTCGAGAAGACAGAGTCTGAATGACACACCCCAAGAATATGAACCCAAAGAATACACATAAAATGCTCTCCACAAAGACAAAGATCCCCCGTATAGCCTTAACAGACTGTAGGGGCAAGTGCTGTTAGCGAGCACCCACGAAGGCATACATACACACATGCATGTACTCGCACAAATAAAAATCTTTTTTGCCTTCACAGGCTGTTGGGGCAATGTCTGTTAGCGAGCCGACCTATTATTGTCTTTGGTGTTTAGATTGTCCTTCCCCTGCATTTCCGATGAGCGCGGTTGGCTACGTACGGTGCGAAAGAGGAGTTCAGCATACATCGGGACGTCTGTGAAAAAAGCTTTATAGCTCATCGGATTGCTACAATATGAATTAAAACAAACGTGTAAGGCGAGGGCGAATAGAGGGAGTGAGAGAGGCACTCTTCACCACGGGAGTAACCTCGCAGGAAACGAAACAGGTCTGCAGGTCGCAGATTTTACTCGACCCCGACAGGATCTTGCTGGGGTGTGCTTAGGAACATTCAAACCATTGGCCTAACCCGAAGCGGCAATCAGTCACGTAATCAGCGTGATTAGCGCGCGGCATTCACACTGAGGCCCTGTAATTACGATTGAACAAAGTTACAAAACACGGTTAGGGTTCATCGTAGAGCCACGGCCTATTGACTGCTGCATGAACGCATCCCCATCACGATATTTTCAGTTGTCATCATCATCATCACAAGCCATGGTCTATGCACTGCTGGATGAAGACATCCTCATCGTGATCATTTAAATTACAATATGATCATGAGCCGACGGATGACGGTCTCTCAATCACTATAATCTCAATGATCGTGAGCCGTGGTTTATCCACCGCTACATCAAGGTCTCCCTATCATGACCATCATGAGCCGCGGACTACCCCCCCCGGGTGTGAAGGCCTCGCCACGCCGCCACCATCCGTCACGGGCCTGCGATGCCAAAAAACATTTCACTCCTGTGCATGCGTCCGCACTTTGATGCGCTGTCTTCTCCTGGCACGATCCAACAACCATCGCTGCCGCCACACTGCTGCATGGCAGGCCACGTGCCATCACCACCACCACCACGATGATGATGATAATAACTATGTTAACAAGGGCAACGTTGTTGATGGTGATAATAATGATGACAGGAATAATGATGGCATGATCGCCACGATGGTAATAGCGACATTGACGATGTCAATGATGATGATGACTGATGAAGACCGCAATGATGATCGTTATGACAATAATGATGACGACGATAACAACAACAACGTTGTTTGGTGATGATAATGATGACTGCAACAGCAATACTCAGAACGATGATCACGATAACAACACTGACCATTGAAGATCATGATAATGTATGCGATGATGCCCGCAATGATGATAATGGTGATTGTGATGCTTGATGATTGTGATCGCCGTGACGATGATGACAGGAATGATGATAACGACTGACTGATCAAGTGACTGATGATGATGATGTTATAATGACAGCGATTACCACGAACGATAACCGGCGATGATGAAAATGACAACAACAACAACGATGATGACGATGTGTATTTATTGAACTTCTTTCGCACCGTACCAAACCGTGATCATCGGAGGTGCGGCGGAAGGACAACAAACTAAATACACACAAAAACCAAAGTCTTAAGGAAATTCATTTTTAAATTTTGACGATGACGACATTTATCTCCGACGATTATCAATCCCGAAATCCCGCAGCGAGACACGAGGCCACCAAGGTCACGTGCTCCGAGCAGCAGGAGGTCACCCTGCAGTGTCCCCTCCCGCCTGGGTCGGAGCCCGCGGCGACTCACGCTCAGCCCGTCCTCTGGTTCATTGGCAGCGGACTCAACGGGTCGTGCGCGCACCCCGACTACGTGGAGAGCTTCATGAAAGGGGGCCATCATCGCCAGGTGAGGGGTGGTGCGGGGGGCGGTCCACAAAGGCCGTGTCGGAGACGCGAAGCTGGCCGGCAACGCCACCACCTTGTTGGGTAGCAGCTCTCAGTGTCACCGCACAAGGGGCTGAACCCATTGAAGCTTGGGGTGTTGAGCGTTGAGCCAACGCTGGGCAAAACACCTTGGCTTTGCCAGGCCAATGCAAGGTGTTTTTGTGCGCCACGGTGGCGAGACTTATATTGTAAATGTTGTGGATTTGCTCTCCAACACACCGGTGTGCTGTACTATTAACGAATTGGCCACGTTCTGTTTACTGGACAAACATCTTTCTAATTGGCTGTGTCGGGTGGTGGCGGGTTTAACGACACATTTATATTTACACGATCTAACCCCCCAAAACAACTGTTTTATGGAGAATTACACTCCTTGGTCATTCCACTGCTGGATGAAGGCAATGACAATTGTGGGGAACATACTTTGGCATTGTGGTCTGGGCGTCACGGTTGCGAGATGTTAGCTCCCTCGCCTGGTACACAGGAGGCCGTGGGTTCGATCACAACCCTGACGCCTGCTGTGTATTTGGAGTTTGCGTGTCTCTCTCGCCATTGGTCGCATGTATTTTTCTCCGGGCCCTCCGGTTTTTTCCATACACATTTTGAATCAACATCACGCGTTTATATTGGCTGCAACAAATTTCCACCTGATTTTCGTTGAGCTATCGTTTGTGATAGCCAGGTCGCTTTTTCAGAAGAGCTATGTATACCTCATTGGGCCTTACCTGGTCAAATAAAAAATAATTTTCATTTGAGTATAGTGTCAAACCACATGCCAACATTGCACGTGTTACTGCGCATGGTCTGGATGGCACGAAGCATCGTGGTGAGTTGCGGGTCGGATTTGACAGAAGACCTCTTGGCTGTTGGAGCAAAGTACGATGAGAGGGGAAAGGTGGCGGGAGCACGTGGATGACAGGTGGGGCGGTGGGCGTGGTTATGAATGATGAGGGTAAAGACGATTGCCATTGGCACGTTCAACTCACGCGTCATAGGAGAAGCTGGGGGGGCGGCTTTCTCACTTATCATGGCTACTCGAGATGATGACGGCGACGATGTACGTTGAACTTCTTTCGCAAGCTACGTAGCCAACCGTGCTCATCGATGACGACGATGATGTTCACCTCGCCAGGCCCTTTTCGACATTAAACACCACCACTTCATCCCGGACAACCATCGGACGAGCTTGGGACGCAGCGACGACGGTTCGAGCCTCACGCTCTCCGTGCGAAACCTGCGGGTGTCCGACTCTGGCCACTACTGCTGCGCGAAACGCGTCCACCGCCACGGCCACCCGGAGGTGCCCCACGCGGGGACAAAGGAGACTCACAACGGCACCCAAAAGCCCCGCGAGCGCGACGCTAACGCGGGCTCATCGCCGAGACAAGACGGCGCTCACCCCTACAACGTCCTGAGCGTCACGGAGCTGCTCGTCACCCAAGGTGGGGCCCAGCAGGTCCGCGAGAGGTGGCCGCGACGAGGTGGTTAGGCGACTCAATCTGTCGCCCGCCCAGGCCGACGTGCGACGCTGCCGTTAACGCTCGTCTGCCGAGATGAAATTGAGGTGTCCTTATACGTAGAGAATTGCAGAGCTCGGGTAACTTGGTGGCGCCGGCTCACCACCGCCTGGCTTGCCTTCCGGCTTTTTTCCGTCATCCTCGCCGCAGCAGCGGCAGCTTTTGGATGCTCAGCCGTCGAACAAAGATGGCGGTCGCCGCATCTCATGGTGCTTTCAGATGCACTTCCTGCGGCCGTCTGGAACGCTCTTCCTTCCGATATTAGGAAGCCGCTGGAGCTATGCACTTTTAAATCATCGTCTAGATTGACAAACTCATTTCTTTAGAACTGATTTTTTGTGTTTTGTTTGTTGTCCCCCCCCCCGCGCACCTCCGATTAGTGTGGTTGGCTACGTGCGGTGCGATAGAAGTTCAACATTCACACACATGCATCCATTGTCTGTGGTTTCTCAGCGATTGTGAGATGCAGTTTGCACGAAGGACGCTATATATCTCTAAAAAAATCCAATATTGTTATTACAGAGAAATGTATTATTTAATATAAAATTTTAATCGTGCAAAAACTTGGATTACGCACGTGACATAATTCCTTTTGTTCTGATTTCAATTCGCTTCATCGCTGTACTTTAAAGTAGCGTGCTTTGCCTTCGTCATCCAGGTGACACACAGGTGACACGCAGGTGACTCTTGCGAATGAGACTCGACTCTGACCTCATGAGTTCTCACACCTGCCTAAAGCAAACATCAACTTGAACATAAGCAAGGCTCATAATGGCCATGTCGGAGACGCTGAGATCAGCCCTCACTGAGCTCCTGAGTTTCAAGCCCAGGTAGCAGCACCCTCCTGCTAAAGCGTCTTGAGACTCAGTCATCGCCATTCCATATGCATGTTTGTGGTATTAAAGATGTGTCACTTCTCACCCTAGCGCAAGGTGGTGGAGTGAAAACATCGCCTGCTTGCCACGATGGCAAAGGTAAGCAGAACTCCTGGTTTAATCAACGCACGCCACACCAGGTACTCATTTAAGCCTGAGTTGACCTAGGGGATATGCAGGACAAGATTTACAATCACTCGCCACTGATGTACACCGTGGCTGGGAGTCGAACTCGAGAACGCTACATTCACAGCGCAGTGCGCATGCCACTACCTCTAACTCGCACTCACTCTACCCACGCATCTCCCTCTAACAGCCTTGAGCCAGTGGTGGGAATTCCACGTTAGTATGGTCGGGGCAAGCATATCCATTGGACAACCACTGTTGGCTTCCCCATAAAGTGGCACTATTGTTTATTCATTTCATCATAGTTTAGCAGAAAAAATAATTTCACTACGTCATCACTACAGCGAGAAACCTTCACAATCACAACACAATGTTGCTGCATGTCTAGATGTGGCCAAGAGACACTCACTACATGTCTAGATGTGAACACGAGACAGCCACTACATGTCTAGATGTGGACAAGAAACACCCACTACATGTCTAGATATGAACACAAGACAGCGACTACATGTCTCGATGTGGACAAGAGACACCCACTACATGTCTAGATGTGGCCAAGGAATCACCCACTAAATGTCTAGATGTGGACAAGAGACAGCCACAACATTTTTGAATTTTTTTTAGTTTCTCTCTTGCACTATGCGATATAAATGCCGAGTACGGCATCATCACTGATGATAATTACAATGATGATGAATAACAATGATGATGATGAACTTTTCTGACCGTAATCACAGTGGTGGTGGTGGTGATGACACTTGTCGGAGTGATGATGACCGCAATGATAAATTATTTCACACTGACAGTAATCTTAGTGATGATGACGACAATCAAAGTGCTGATGATGACGGTAGTGATGACGGTGTGTGGTCACAGTGGTGATGATTAAGATCACAGTGATAATGACGATGATGATAGAGACCATCATAGTGATGACCGTTGACGATCATCAAACTACTGATGATGATAGCTGATGATTTCCCCTCCTCTCGTGTGCCTTGCAGCTGATACCCGCGATGTTGTCATCGTCATCCTCATCTCCCTCGTCATCATCAGCGTCATCGTGATCGTCATCACCTGCTTTCGAGCCCAGAAGCGCAGGGGGAGGGTGATTGGTACGTGACACACGAACACAAATATCCCCCGTATAGCCTTAACAAACTGTAGGAGCAAGTGCTGTTAGCAAACACCTATGAAGGCCGGAACGGTACACGAGGGGTTGGGTGGCCAGCACCACGCCAGGCCGCCTTTGTCTCCCCAGTGGCGATGTTTACACACAACACCAGGTACTCTTTTGAGGCTGAGTCAACCTCGGGGAGGCACAGAACCGGTTCGGATAATCGTCACCGGCGTTGACCGTGAACAGGAATCGAGCCCAGGGCGCTGGGTTCGTAGCGCAGCGTAGCGCTAACCTGCTACACTACATATCCCCCCGGAGTGGATCCACTCAGGCAATCCCACGGCAACTCGTTGCCAGCGATTATCACCGGCGATGCCATTGGCCATGAGCCACTATAGCAACTTGGCTGGACAGCGGAATGGAGTGACAGAGTGACAGCCAGTCAAAACAAGCTTTGATGAAAGGTGTGCAGGCTGGATAATGATTGGTCGAGAGCAGGGGTGGGAAACCTTTTTTTCTGCCAAGGGCCATTTGGATGTTTCTAACATCATTCGCGGGCCATACAAAATTATCAACTTATAAATTTGCCTGTTATATTTTGTCAAACATTTCATTAACTCACCCCTAATATGATGGCTGGAACTGCTTCTCTTTGGCGAGGCGTGTGTGATGTTAGCTGGTATTGATGATGTTGCTACTCGCAACTGCTTTTCCAGGTTTGCTCCTAGATTTATTGATATTCGAGTCCCGCCTGCGGTTGCCTTGGCAGGTCCCGCGGGCCGGACGTTCCCCACCCCTGATCTAGAGACTGACGAGACGGCTTCAGGCCATAAAGAGAGCTTAGTTTTGCAGTCCCTTCGTTACTGGAGGGGCTGAAACTCCACTGGTCGTTGATGCTAGCCGTGACCGGGAATTGAACTCAGGCCGTCGGATTTATAGCGGCACACTCGTGTGCGTGTGTGTGCGTGTGTGAAATAAACGAAGGAGGGCAGCGCTAACTCTCGCTCGCGTGCAAGGCAGCTGGCGCCTCGGTAACGCAATCGCGGAAATTATCAAAGTTGAATGCGCCCGGGGTGACGTCGATCATGCGGTGCTGGGAAAAATATCCGCGATGTGCCTTTTTTTTGGGGGGAGGAAGACAAAAAAACCCAGCAATATATATGGATACAAAACACAGGGCCACATGTCTCCTTAGTGTGTCTCGATTATAATTGCTTGCAGAACACACGTAGTAAAAAAACAACAACACACTCAGACCTCGACACACGTGGCCGTGACCATGTAATCTCAACCCAAGTCACAGCGCCGCGGTGCGAGTTAGCATCGGGGGAGATCGCCTAATTCCCTGGCCGCAGGAAACCGTGAAGACTATCCCTGAGAGGGCTTCTGGGTGAAAACCTATCAGCCAGGTGACCTGCCCTCGGAGCTCTATGGGGGGGGGGGGGGAATGTGTGAGGGTGTGTTTATGTGGGGGGTGGTGAGGAGGAAGCTGTCGGCCACATCGCTTGGCGGTGGCGAGGTCGTAGATGGGGCGCCCGCAGAGCGGCTTCGCAGCGGCGGCATCACACAGCCATCCTCCACAGTGTTCGCGATGTCACCGTCCACCTCGCTCCTGCACTCACGAAGCTGACCTCACCGCGCTCCCATCAACTGCGGGGCTGCGGTTGGCCCTCTCGGGCAACGTTTGCGACCTTTGGCTTTCACGCCGTGACGAGTCTCGTTCTGCTGGGGGGTCACGGGCAGGGGATGGACCTTCGCTAGCTCCCGCTGTCCTACCCACGTGACTTCACCGTAAGAACCAAAGAGTTATGGATTCCTGCAGTGAGGAGAGCTTCAGATCAAGAGTGGAGTTTTTAGTGCAACCTTGGGTTGGGTTCTCTTCGGACACTCCAGGTTCCCCTCCTCCCGCGTGTGAACACGTCGCTAACTGGCCGATAACGCCTCCTTCACACATCGAGGCACCGCAAAATGCTAGAGGAAAAATATTGGTGGCGGATTCCAGGACCGGATGAAGGTCGTGCGGGGCCTGTAGCATATTGATGTTATAAAGGGGCCCCTAAATAATAAAATAAAAAGACACGTAGATGTTAAAACACAAATGTGCAACTTGCATAGGAGCCAAGAGAGCAGCAGCAGTTGCCCAACAAACTTTTATTTTCACACTCCATGGTCACCAGGAACAACTTTGTGAGCGGTAACAAAACTTAAGAGCTTCATTTTTGCCACCTCCTCCTCCCCCCGTCTCTCGTCTGTCCACACGCAAACGCGTCCGGTACTTGACGCGACCTCGCACGATATCAAATATCTCCCTCTTCATATTTCTTCATTGCCATTCTTTGGTCATTTTCAGGAGCAAAACTGCCCAATGAGAGGAGGGGGGGGGGGGGCCAAGGCAGGAAAACAAACAAACAACAGCAAACAACAGCCCTGTGGCATGGCTCAGACGAGGCTCACGCCTGATTGAAGGCTACACAAATTCGACTCAAACTTGCTTTTTTTTAAAGTTTTGTCTAAATGTTTTTTTCCCAACATTAATCGAACGTCCACGTCTCGTCATCTGTATACATCCAAGGCGTGTTAGGTCGTTTGGCGGATCATCCAACTTTTGAACGTTTACAAAACCTACGATAAAAAAACTTTTTTTTGTTTTTCTTCACGGGGAAGCTGCACGGCGCTTGCCGCTTCTCGGCGCGACGTCCGACGTTTTTGGCCCACGTCACTTTTTTTTTATCTATGTTTGGAGGGGGGGGGATGACCACAATATTAGTTGTGAAACGCACATTTTATCACCGTGTTCGGTTTCGTCGCTGCCGGGCGTGCAGGCAATGGAGCTTATGGGGCCCCAAGCGTCAGGCTTCGAAGGTGGGTGAGGGATGATCGGACAGGATGGGGAGCCCGCACTCAATTCCCTGCTCTGGGGCCCCACGCCAACCACGCTACGCCACCAATTGTACCGTCATTGGTATTGAGGAAACGTTCAACACGACCCTTGCCACCACCTTGGACAATTTCACACCGAAAATTGCAGCAAAAATAACGAGTCAGTAATGCGCTGTGATCTCTACCATTACGATTTGTTACGATGATATATTTTCTCATGTTCGTACTGCGTTGTGATAATTACGCTGTAAATATGAAAAGTTAAAGTGTGGGGCCCCCCACACGCTCTTCCGTTGCGGCAATAGGATTCAACAAAAACACAACAGTAACCACTTTTGAACGGAATAACAACGACGACGACCATGTTCCAAATCCCAGAGCAGAGATGTTTCACTCGTCGCCGGTAGCACCACAGGCGGCGTAACTTTAGCGGTTTGGTTCTTTGGGTAGGACGTTTCGTCCGAATGAGGACGCTCTTTTTCCGACAGCTCTGTTCTTCACCTGAGGACGGCTGCTTGCGTTGTGGCCGAAACGCCGTGAGAATTTTATTTTATTATGCTTCATTTTTATTATTTCCCTTCTACGTGACTTTAGCGAAAGAACCAAGAATATGATTCCAATAATTTGATGTGGCCAATCATAGCGATTTGTGTGATAACCCGTTGGAAATTGGTGGGTTATCGGGTAATTCACTCTCCCTGGCCACGTGAGTAAATCAGCAGGACTGAAGTGTTGCTGCCACCTTAGGTGGTACCGGCTTTTTCTCTCTGCACCACCGACTAGTCAGTGCAGTTGATATCTCCCATCTTTATCGAAAATCTTTCTCCGATCCGTGGTTTTGTCGAGGGCTGCGTCACCAGGAGGCCCTCAGCCAGCAGCGGAATGACAAAGGGGCTGTACGTGTGCATCGCAGTCGAAGGAAAACTAAAACCAAGTGATTTAAAGCTTTGGTGACTGCAGGGATTCAATTTCTTTGTTCTTTCGGTAAAGTCACGTAGAAGTGAAATAATACAAATATGAAAAATATAAAACAATAAAATTCGCACGACGTTTCGACAGCAACACAAGCAATCATCATCAGGTGATCACCATCAGTCTAATGGCACACCCAAAGCGTACGATACGAATGAGACGGAACATCGGAGAGACGAGGATGATGGTCGTGGGATGTTTTTGATGCAGCGCCCTCCTAGACGCTGGGGCGTCTAGGAGGGGTCGCGTGGCATCTCACGTCTCGTCTCAACACACGTGAAAGAGCACCCCCGGGGGCAGCTGTCCCCGTGCGGCACAAAGTGACTCGGCACCTGCCTCGCAAACGAGACAGCCGAGTAGTGAGGTGGGTGGGGTGGGGGATGGCGATGATGAGCTCTGTGTAATCCCAATTGAGTCATTACCTTCTTGAATTAAACCACAACTGTGGATGATGACCAATGGTGGAATCGCCTGGCGAAGTGTATCACCAAACCCCTGGCATGCGCCGTGACCGTCCCTTGCTGTCCAATGCGAGACTGAAGCTTCGCTAATTTCCATCATTGACTTCTTCGGCCACGAGCTATCCACTGCCGAGTGAGGGTCTCCCCAAGCCGTCGTCATCCCCCGCGCGACCTTGTGATTAAACCGCCCACCTTGCTCCTGCACACACGGGGCGTGTTTTTCCTCCTGTGGCCGCCACTCTGTCGTTAGCCACGGCCACGGGACCCTTTCTCCCTCCCGGCGCCGTGTCCCGCAACACGAGCCTTCCTTCCTCGACGCTAAAATCAGACGCCTCCGACCCCCACGCTCAAGTTTTTTTTCACGGGCGCTTAAATTGCCCCACTTTGCCACCACGCGTGGGGGGTGACGTGGCCCGCTCGAGAGAAATTAGATCTCGTGGAGCAAGTGCACGGACACATGCACATTACTATTGTTTTAATGCCCTTCCGTAACAATCGGTTCAAACAAGCCCGACTGCTGATGATACTTTGAATGCTAAAACCGGAGATTGCTTGTGTTGAAACAACGCTGCTAAAATCATGCACTCCCAGAAAGGCTGGTGCGACCGATGGGACGTGGAGGAATTTTTTTTTTTTTGCTCGTTCAGCTTATCGACGTAAACTTAGCGCCAGCCGCTCCGTCGCCGGCCGCCAAGGTTCACCGTCGCCGCCACTGTATTCCGCCCAGCCTTTCTGCCCCTCCACACGTGCACCAGCTTGTGGTTATCCAGGAAGGTCTTCTTGGCGTAAGCCTTCCCGCGTTCGTCGTGCTAGTACGTCGGAGCCATCGTTGTCGTCGGCGTGGTGGCCACCGACGCCGTCGTGCCGGCGGTTTCCTCGATCGTGAAGTCGTTCTGCTTTTGGCAGAGCCGCAGGTGGCTCTCAATCGCGACCAGCGACCCGCGCTTATGTTTGCATATCGGGCAGATCCACTCGAGGATCTCGGTGTGCCGCCGGGCGGCGAGACCCCAACGCCTTCCACGCGTCCTCCCACTCGACCCCGCGGTGCGCGGCGCGGAAGTGCCGCCGCACGTTGCCCTTGGTGGCGAAGCTCTTGCGGCACATGGGGCAGGGCACGCGGTCGTCGTCCGTGTCGGAGTAGCCGGTCGCCTCCCCATCGAGCCTCTCGTGCGCCACGCGGACGTGGCGCCACCAGTCGCGCAGCTGCCGGAAGCTCTTGCCGCACGCGGCGCACAAGTAGCCCGGCGAGAGTGGCGGCGACGTCTTCGGCCGGGGCCCGGCCTCCTTGGCCTTCGTCGAGTCGACGGGGGCGGCGCCCGACGGGCCCTGGCAGCCGGGCTCAGCCGCCACGGCGTGGGCCTCCTGGTAGACGGCGGCGCTGCGGTTGCTGGCGATGGGGTCCGGCCGGACGACGAAGTCGACGGGCTGCTCCTGCGGCCGTGCCGGTTCGGGAAGGGTGTCCCGGTGGTGGCGGTGGCTGTTGTTGGTGTCGTCTTCTAAGAGGGGATTGAACGCAGGAATAATAGCGTGGAACAAATTGTGAACGTGCTGTTTTTCGTTTGCAAAAATGTCAAGGAATACTTGAGACAGAATACCATTAAAAAAATATCATGAATAAATAAACGCAGCCATTAACACGTCAAATAAGATCACACTTTTACCCATCGGACTTATCGTCCTCGGAGTCAACATTTGCCAGCAGCGTTGGGTTAAAGCCGCAGACTCCGCTAACAGTTTGAGATTCTCCCTGAATCTCATCGCCTTGGTTGGTGTTTACAGCCCCTCGCCCAAAACCGATGTTTTGTTACTTGTCCAAACACCGCTGTTACCGCCTTCAAATGGGAGTCACTTTAGCCCACCTCACCACGAAAACCTGGGGGAACGTTTCGCCCCTTAGGGAGGGACGGCTACTCATCGGCACGCCTCGTTCAATCAAACGATGCTGGCAAGCGTCGAGGGGGGGGGGGGGGGGGGGCTGCCCTCGTCGCTACCTGTGCACGCGTAGGGGTGGCAGTAGAACTGCCGGTGCACGACGAGGTTGGGAAGGCACCGGAAGAGGCTGCGGCACAGCTGGCACTCGTAGACGATGTCCACCTCGCACAGCAGCAGCCGCTTGAGACGCGGAGTCCCTACAGGGAGTGGCACGGCATCGTGATGAACCACAATCTCTCCACTGCTGGATGAAGGTCTCCCCCACCCCCCCGCCCCCCACCAGTCAAGCAGTCACACCGTCTCTGAGACCAACCACTGCCTTCGGAGTAACGTTAATCGGAGTAGACGCGTATCCTGAACAGTGGCAGGAACTTCCACAAGCCGCGTGAGCCAACTCTAATTCCAATGACTCCTAGAATTCAACCCGACAGCTTTAGGGGAAGGTGAAAATATCTGGAGGTGGTCGGGTGGATCAGGGGTCAGAGCTTGAAGCCGGCACCGACAAGACCCCGGGTTTGTGTTGTTGTTCCAGGCTTCGGCTGCCCACAATTAAACCTGCCTCTTCAGCGTTGCACGCCGAAGGCCTCTGCACAGTCAGCAACGACTGCAGCCCCCCCCCCTCCCCCCGAATGTGGATAATCGATCGCGTGAAGGGATCTCAGAAGAAGTTCTGCGATACCAACTTCCGCGGCGGGCTATTCTCCGACGCAGGCCGATGCGCAGTTCCCGCGAGAGTTCCCGACGGCATTTTCTTTGCCTCAACGCCGCGACGCGACTGTCAAGCAACGCAGCTGGCAATGGGCAGCACAGATGATTGTACAGCGGACGAGAGCCAGGGCGACGCACGGTTCCCTGCGAGTGTTTAGAATGGAAACGTCCTCTCTGCTGACACGCCAGCAGCCGCAATGGAAATAGCCACCGCGGAGTTCAACACAAAGCAGTCAGCTTGAGTGATGACGCAGACCTCAATGAGTCACTCCGGCCACTCGCCTTCCTATCACTCGTCTATAGCTACTACCATGGTCACTGCTCTTTGTGAACGCCACTAGTTGATTCCTCCACCCGTGTCGGCAGCCGTCGCTCCGCAGATCACAACACACTCACTCGCCACACTGTGTCCAACCAGCTCACTGTGCGCGCGCTGTTTTGCGTGCGCGTGTGCTCCTGTGCGTGCGCTGCTGTGTGCGTGCGAGCGCCGCCGCTGTACGCGAGTGCACACGTGAGCGAGCGCGTGCGCTGCTGTGTACCGATGCGGATGCCCTCCAGGATCTGTCGGACGCCGTGCCTCTGCGTGTCAAACTGCTGCTGCACGAGAGGAGAGTCCCCCGGCTTCGTCGCTGGAACGGACACAACAAAGACGCCCCTTGCAAAGACTCGCATCTGAGTTTGCATCTAAATGAAGAATTTAGTTTGGTGGCAGTTTTGACCGTTTAACCCGTGGGCATTTCTGGGGGGGGAAATCTTAACTCAGATGTCTTTCTGGGGGAGTTTAAGGTGAGTTTGTTCAACCGGCTGAGAACTTAAGAGATCAGGAACGTCTCACGTGCAAGAGTGGACCGGTGCATTTGTCTGCCAGTAGGGGGCGTGTGTAATCCCAAGTACAGTAATACCTCGGTTCACGAACTTAATTCGTGAACTGACTCTGGTCGTTAACCGAATTGGTCGTGAACCGAGGCACATTTTCCCATAAGGTTCAATGTAAATCCGGTTAATCCGTTCTGACCTTCTTTTTTGGTTTTTGAAGCACAAAAATATGAAACAAATGACAATACATTTACTGTAGTACTGTACAGTATAGTAATGTATAAAGAGAGAACACTAACCTTGCTTGAGATGACTTCTGGCATGGAGGAAGGCAGGTGGGAGGCGGGTGGGAGACAGTAAGCACTCAAACCGGTGAACTGTACAATACAGTAAGTACAGTATTGTACAGTACAGCAGTACAGTACAGTACTGTATGTGCTAAAAAGCACACCAAAAATCAAAAAGTCACTGAAAGTGTCTTCACAGTACTCACAGTACTTCTTTCTGTGTCTCTGCTTCTCTCCACGATCTTCCTACAGGAAGTCACGACCATGTGACAGCCTGGAATTAGCATAAAAATGGCCGCGGCTCCTGTTCGTGAACCGAAGCGGAGTTCGTGAACCGGAGCATATTTTTTATGAAATTTTCTGTTCGTGAACCGAGTTGTTCGTGAACCGAAGCGTTCGTGAACCGAGGTATAACTGTAAATTATTTTCTGGCAAAATTGGACAGTGATATCAGCACACAATAGGCCTCCTCTTGAGAAAGTCGTCATGGGATCTTTAACATCCACTGTGATACAGACAGGGCATTTAGCGTTATCATTATTACGGTCATCACATGTGCAGTAATAATCAGGGCGGCCCGCCGGATTTGAACCGTGAATCTCTGCAATGAGCAGTGAATGCGCTACTGCCGCTGGGCCATGTGGAGATGACTCGGTGAATCACGGAAACAGCTTAAGTTTATCCTTCAACTCAATCGTGGGAAAGATCAGTCAAATTCAGTCATTCCAGCCAGACTCAATGTGGCAGTCCGATTGAAACGCGATTTTAGGCCTGCTAATGGCACCACAATAGTCGACTTTATTTTGTAAATGTACGAACTCAGCTTGACAAAACAATCAACGCAAGACACCCACACAGCGCTTGCAAATATCTGCACAGCGCAGCGTAGAACGCAATTCGATTTTGTATTTTCCCAAGCCGAAAAAAACCACTCCACAGACGTCCAGGAACACGCGTTTTAAGTTTGTCATCCCTTCCCCGGCACCTCTGATTAGCACGGCCGGCTACGTACGGTACGAAAGAAGTTCAGCGTCGAAATTGTCACGGGTTACCTCCGGCGCAGTGTCGCGTGGACCCCAGCTCAGCCTGGCCACCCTGGCCCCGCACGCCGGGGACATCCACCCCGGCGGCCGCTGCCACGGGCTCGTCCGCTCCCCCCTGCACCTCCTCCTGCTCCACCGCCCACAGACGGCATCGGTAGACGCTGAGGGCTGTGACCATCTAACGGCGATCAGACGTCGCGTGGACCGGCTTCGCGTGCAAAGTCACGTGTAAAGAGAAAATAATAAGGAAATAAAGAAAATAATAAGGAGGTCCCATGATGTAGCTGCTCACCCAGAGCTCTCGTTACTCTGATAATGCGTTGTATTTGAACTGTGCGCCTTTTGGCGTCATCTGCTCGAACACCATATGAGACTAGGCTCTAAAGAAAGCTGTCTCTGGTGTGGACCAATCAGTTTCAAGGACAATGCATACATTATTAGATTATTGTTTTTTGTTTGCATTTTACTGCAAGTATTGTGGTTAATGTAAGCATGGTTCCTTGCAAAAGGTGTCAGTTTTGTTGCCAGAAAAAAGGGGAAAAACCCTATTAGTATATTTTGGTACTGGCAAAGGAGGTCCCATGATGTAGCTGCTCACCCCGAGCTCTCATTACTCTGATAATGCGTTGTCTTTGAACTGTGCGCCTTTTGGCGTCATCTGGTCGAACACCATATGAGACTAGGCTCCAAAGAAAGCTGTCTCTGGTTTCAAGGACAATACATAAATTATCAGAGTATTGTTTTTTGTTTGCATTTGACGGCAAGTATTGTGGATAATGTAAGCATGATTCCTTGCAAAAGGTGTCAGTTTTGTTGCCAGAAAAAAGGAGAAAACCCCTATTAGTTGTACTAGGTTTGTTTTCTCATTCATTCGTACCTGATGACGATTGCTTGTGTTGCAATCGAAACGTCGTATTCTATTATTATTTAATGTATTTCTACGTAACTTTACTAACAGAACCAAAGAGTAAATCCCTGCAGTCACGAAAGCTTCGAATCGGATCTTCTTGGTTCTTTCGGTAAAGTCACGTAGAAGGGAAATAATAAAATAAACAAAAATATTAACAAAAATAATTCTCACGACGTTTCGACTGCAACACAAGCAATCGCCATCACCTGATGATGAAATTTGTAATAATTTTGTAAAAAATTATTTCATTATTTATAACACTTCGACGCGTTAAGTGCGATACACGAGTTTGTTGGTCACGACTGGCTTACCTCCATCTCCTGCTCGGCCAGGTAGCTCCTTCCCGTCGACTCGGGGGGAGGAGGAGGAGGCAGAGACGTCGCCACGACGTCCATCTGCGAGCTCATCGCCGACGTTGGAAGCGCCAAAATTCGCGCCACGTGCCAGCAGCAGCGGTCAGGGCAGGAAGCGGAAACGACGAATCGATTCCGAATCGATTCGTCGATTGTAGACGACGCGATTCGCGAATCGCGAAGGCTGCTATATGAGAAAAGTCCTATTACTGGTCGGAACGAAGTGGACCAGACCACCAATAGATTAATGTGTCCGTCCGTCCGTCCGTCCGTCCGTGGGAGGGGTGGTGTTGAGGGTGGTGTTGGAAATGAAAGACTACGAGTCTTTAAATCTCACAGCGTTTCTTGTCAAAACAAACACTTTTAATTAACGTTACACTAGAATACAGTAATTTTTTCTTTCACTCCTCTATACCCGGTCGATATCTCTGTACCGGTACTAAGTATTATTCCTACCAGCCCACCCCGCAGGGTCCTGTTAACTGACAGGCATGTCCAAAGTCCGGCCCGCGGGCCAGGTCAGATTTCATATGGCCCGCAGCTTCGGTCTTATAATGTGTTATTTATGGCTCGCTATGTCTGTCAGAATAAAAAAAATCATCAAACTTTAAAGATGTAATTCCTCCTTTCACCACACGGTGGCAGCACCATTCTAATGCTCTTTGGCTCTGCATCCGTGTCGCTAACCCTTCTAGAATCATTTCTGCTATGGCGACTGCAAATAAAAATAGAAAACTGGACAGTGAGGGCCGCCGCTTTCAGGAGCGGTGGGAATTACAATACTTCTTCACTGAAAATCGAGGCAATTGTGTTTGTCTAATTTGTAAAGAGACGGTTGCCTTGTTTAAGGATTTCAACGTAAAGAGACACTACGAGACTAAACATGCTACAACATACGACAAGCTAACAGGGAGTGACTGCGCTGAAAAAGTGAAGCAACTCCAAGCTGCTCTGGCATCGCAACAGCGATTATTCACGCGGGCCTATGAGTATTTTTAAATCCTTTATATTAAGTTCACTTGCTTGCTTGTGCGCTTACGACAGTGCACATCTTTCTGTCGTTTTTTAACCCACTTCCCGTGATCCAATCAAGCTGACATTTTGCACACAGACTCGTTGTGCGTGACAATTTATTTTCGTGAAAATTTTTTTCCAAATATTTTTTTAAATTTTATTACCAATTGCTTAATGGTGGCAGGCAATCATCTGACCCATAGGTGGCAGCCACCTCAAGCCAGAGGACGAGAGGACTCTAGCCGCCCGTTTAAAAGACCAATGTGGGCTGCATTGTGGCCCATTGAACACGCATATGAAGGATTTATAGTGAAAAACTTTGTTTTTACGGGTTAATTTTTCCTCTTGTCTAACACCGTTTTGAGACGAGGCTCCAAAGAAAGTCATCTCTGGTGTGGACCAATCAGTTTCAAAGACAATGCATATATTATCAGACTGTGTTTTTTTGTTTGCATTCTGACCACAAGCATTTTGGTTAATGTAGACATGATTCCTTGTAAAAGGTTTCAGTTTGGTGTTTTAACATCTTAACACCTGTTTTGTTGCTAGATAAAAGGGGACAAACCTATTCTCAGAAAGACAGAGTTCGTGCAGCTTTGCTGCTCCGCTAATCCTCCGTTGAAGGCGCGCACGTGACATTAACTTTGACGACGTGACAAATCATCCTGAGAAGTTTCCCTAAACGTTTGCAATTGTATTTCAGATTTTTTTTTGCCGGCTTTTTTGTTGTAAATCTTCACTTAAAGCTTTCGTGACCGCAGGAATTCGTATTCTTTGGGTGTTTCGGTAATGTCACGTAGATAGGTTCAACGAAATAACAAAAATAACATAAAAACGACGACGTTTCGATCGCAACACAAGCGGCCGTCAATGCATGATGACGACCGCTTGTGTTGCGATCGAAACGTCGTAGTTTTTTTTGTTATTTTTGTTATTTCTCTGAACCTATCTACGTGACTTTACCGAAAGACCCAAAGCATACTTGTGTTTGTACTTTGCTGTACCTCCAGTGGGAATAGAGATCGCGGTGTATTTCCTTCACCTGTAGCTCACTCGACACGAAGCTGCTGTGAGTTTTCCCAAGCGTCGTAACGGTGAATCTGTAACGCTCATAGCGCCTAATGCAATGTTGCCCGCATTGCGATGGTGCCCGCAATGCGATGTTACCCAAAAATCGATGGTGCCCGCAATGCAGATGGCACGGAGCACCCGACATGCCGACAATTGCTGCAAGGACACGTTGCACTCGGCGCTAATGTCATAGACTTGTGCGTCTTTCAACTCGAATTGCTGCCGTGAACTCTCGCTGCTTTTAATTGCGCGAATATTTTTTCGTGTTGAAATGAAAATGTGCAAAATGCGACGGGAAACCATGGTCACGAGACAGTGATTAAACATTTTTTTTAAACAGCGCCAGAAGTCCACATTCACATGGGATGTGATGCAGAGTTGTAAATGTCGTGGGTTTACTTTCCAACACACCGGTGTGCTGCTGAATGAGTAAAGAATTGGCACGTGTTCTGTTTACGTGACAAACCGTCACTGATTGGCTGTGTCGGGTGGTGGCGAGTTTAACCACACATTTATATTTACGCGATCTAACCCCCCCCCTCCTCCCCACCTCGATTATGGATATTGGTTGCGAAAGCTTGCTACGTGTTAGACCGACATCAGTCTGCTAATAGGGGGCAATGATTGCTATGTACTGTCCCAATAATGCAATCTGCGGTGTGATTTCATCACTGGCACACCAACAATGGGCTACTCCTTACGAATTACGATGAAGCAGGTAAGCATGCGTTCTACATGTTTTCGTACGATTATATATCATTCACTAACCGGGGCGACCGCTGGATTCGAACCGTGAAACCTCTGTGACCCATCGGTGCAGTGCCTGCGTTAGAGGGGAGATTACGTTCACCCTGAGCAACACCGTCGCATGCAATTTGCTGTGTATTGATCTCGCGTTTGCGTCTCTGTGTTTTGCAGAACGGGAGATGAGCAACATTCAGAGGTGAGATTCATTCAATATAAATTCGCTTCCAAAAGCATTGCTTTGGGCAAAATTTACTTTTGAACAGAGATGTAATGAGAAATCTTGATTCTAAACTTTCGCGACGGCAGGAATCCATACTCGTTGGTTCTTTTTGGTAAAGTCACGTAGGTATGAAATAAAATAAATCACGACGTTTCGGGCGCAACACAAGCGCCCGAAACGTCGTGATTTATTTTATTCTATATCTACGTGATTTTACCGAGAGAACCAAAGAGTATGTAATGAGAAGTTTAGATTCGTTATAAGTAGGAAGAATGTATTCGCTTATGCAAATAAAAAGGGAAGTGGTGATGCGGTGGTTAGCGCACTGCTAACCACTGCACCACCACTTACGTGGTTTGATTCCCAGCTCAGACTAACTTCACAAATCCATCTGTGTGGGGCTTTGAGCATCAGCTCCTCGTGAATGAGGTGGATTTCCACTGGGTTCTCTGCTCTCCTTCTTAAGCTAAATCACCTCTCCCACCCGCACTGCTCCCCGACATACAATGTAACTGGTATTGGCCATAACATCCAAATAGTTGAAACATTACCTGCCATTACACATGGGCAGCATCACTCCCCACTTCCGCGACAGCATGGCAGGACCCCCCTGAAAGAGAAATCTTGAGAATGGGCGAGACTTTCCCCGGCGAAAATACACAGAACAAAATAAGTAAAAGGAGATACAATGAAATTAGGGGCTATCCCTTCGTATGGGTGAAAAGTGCCCAACGACCCTTGGCGATTCAGTTCGCGAGAGGCGGTGAGCGCAGACGGCCCTCGAGAGTTGTTGAAGCGAAAGCGCTCACGTCAATAAATATTGAAAACAAGCCTGCCGTGTCTGCGGAGGTTGGGCCGGACCGCGGCTTCCCCTTCGCCAGCGACTTGCAACTTCCTCCTGCGCTGAAAGAGTACGGGGGAAGGGGGCTGATGGGATGTGGGAGAGAGATGTGGAGGGGGTGATGGGATGTGGGGGAGAGATGGGGAGGGGGTGATGGGATGCGGGAGAGAGATGGGGAGGGGGTGATGGGATGCGGGAGAGAGATGGGGAGGGGGTGATGGGATGTGGGGGAGAGATGGGGAGGGGGGGATGGGATGTGGGGGAGAGATGGGGAGGGGGTGATGGGATGCGGGAGAGAGATGGGGAGGGGGTGATGGGATGCGGGAGAGAGATGGGGAGGGGGTGATGGGATGCGGGAGAGAGATGGGGAGGGGGTGATGGGAAGTGGGGGAGAGATGGGGAGGAAGTGATGGGATGTGGGAGAGAGATGGGGAGGGGGTGATGGGATGTGGGGGAGAGATGGGGAGGGAGTGATGGGATGCGGGAGAGAGATGGGGAGGGGTTGATGGGATGTAGGGGGAGAGATGGAGGGTAATGGGGAGATGGGAGGGGGAGAGATGTGGGGGATGACGGGGAGATGCGATGTGTGGCTGTCTGTGGTTAATCCTGGTTCTCAGTGGAGTGAGTTGATCGTCTCAGCCCGGTCACCAATGACTGCACAAAACACCCCCGCTGCATGACATTTGTTTCTGCACTAAGTTTGGCTAAATTCCAGCTGTCGAGATGTCAATTTCGGTTTGACCGTCACGCGAATAACACATTACTCATATACAGAGCGGCTGAGAATGTGCTGCTACCTCATGTACTGTGTGAACAGGAGGCCACTTTAGGGAAATGCAGAAAGAGTTATGTGGATATCCACTTCTACGGATTATTATCGAACTTCGGGGTGGGGGGGGGGACGCACTGCTGGGCAAGCAAGAGTTCCAAATTGACCCTTCATCTTGTGACATTCACTAGGGTGAAACGTGGTAAAAACAAAGACGAAAAAAATAAAAAAAATGGTCTCCGGTTCCATTTGGAAGACGAACTCCGCTCCGGGTTTCCATCCCCAGAATGTCGTGACACTCCACCCCGATCTGTCGAGCGAGGCGATGCAACCAACGGTCACGATTCGGTGGGGGGGGGTGGGTTTCGTGATTCCATTCAAGAGTCGATGATGATGATGTGTTCTTCAGTTATTTTGGGTTTGCGCTCACGCACCGCTGTAGATGGTTCTACTCTGAGGTTCTTTCGGTAAAGTCACGTAGGTAGGAGAATGAATCAATAATAGATCACGACGTTTCGATCGCAACAGCAGGCGGTCGTCCTCAGGTGAAAGAGAGAAACATGCCTCTGTGATGGGGGAGGGGAGGCCGCAAATGGGCGAGAGGATGGGGATCAAATTCAAAGAGGGCTTGGGTGAGAGAGAGAAAATAATTGTGACAATGAAGCTGAGATATCAAACTTAACACAATTTTGAAATGTAATGCAACTCAGAGAGTCGGCTAACACAACAGTTAACACTTTACCTGGTTGATCAACGTCCTTCCAAAGATTGCTAAATTTTGCATCCATCTTCTCGGTTGAAGTTATGTCCGAGTCGTGTGGAAAACCTCCCCGTAGAGGCGGTTCAATCTTGATTAGAAGCTTTCGTGACTGCAGGATTTCATACTCTTAGGTTATTTCGGTGAAGTCACGTAGATAGGAAAATAAATCAATAATAGATCACGACGTTTCGATCGCAACAACAAGCGATCGTCCTCAGGTGAAAGATAGATGTATCTCTGTTGTTTAATTATTCCACTAGGCGGCAACATTGGGACCGAGATCTCCGCTGAGTTTCGTGAGGATTTTCTGCCGTCAGCCACGCGAATTGTGGCAGTAGTTCTGCAATGACCCTTTCCGCGGGCCTCTCTCTAACACCGAGCGATGCACTGCCCAGAAATGGCTCAGAATGGACAAGCTGACGTGGCACCGACACGAGTAAAAATTAGACAAATTACAAATATTAATGAAAAAATAATCACATTAAGATGGTCATCTTATGGATATGTCTGTATGTTGAACTTCTTTCGCACCGTAGGTAGTCAAACGTGCTAATCGAAGTTGCGGGGGAAGGACAACAAACTAAACACAAAAGTAGTTCTGAAGAAATTAGTTTTCAATCGAGATGAATTAAAAGCGCATCGCTCCAGTGGCCTCTTAATATCGGAAGGAAGAGCGTTCCAGGCGGCCGCAGAAGCGCATCTGAAAGCGCGCGATGCAGTGACTACCGATGATTAACTGACCTCTGGCACGGGAATATGTAATTTCAACCACTGGCTTTTAATTCACAAAAGGAAGATACACACCACTCTATACTCGCACGACCAGCGCGTACTGTGACGAGTCAGTGTCTCCCCCACGTGTCCCATCTCATTCCAAACCCCTCCTGTCCCCCCTCTCCTCCTTCTCACAGCCCCACGTCTGCACAAGTGATGTCCCCAGACTCAGACATGCCTGTGTTCGACTTCGAGTACCAGCCCGGGCTTCAGGGAGGTGTCTTCCCACGGCCAAGTCCTTTGCGTGAGTCACACGAACGAACACACGGAGGCAATGATCCCCCGTATAGCCTACACAGACTATTTGGGGCAAGTTCCCCACTGTTTTATCTCCCCTTATATGCACACGGTCCACGTTTCAGGCAGAGTCAATCTAGGGGACAGCCAAGACTGGTCTAGATGTTCTCGACTGATGTTTCAGCATCGTACTCTGTTTTTTTTGGTAAAGTCACGTAGGTATAAAATAAAATACAAATATCTCACGGCGTCTCGGAAGCAACACAAGCGTCCGTCGTGATTTATTTTTATTTTATTTTATACCTACGTGACTTTACCGAAATAACCAAAGAGTATGGATCATTGCAGTCACGAAAACTTCAGATCTGGGTTTCAGCATCAGTTTATGTATATTTATACTGGAATAATTATACGAGCTTTACAGCTCTTGTTTACAGATGTCCAGTGGGGGGCGGGTCAGGGCGTCACAACAACAAACAACTTCTTGGTTCTTTCGGTAAAGTCACGTAGAAGGGAAGTAATAAAATAATACAAATAAAACATAATAAAACAATTCTCACGACGTTTCGGCCACAACGCAAGCAGCCGTCCTCAGGTGAAGAATGAGACAATGCCAAGCTAGGAGCTTATATATAAGCTGCGTTGGAGGTGGAAGAAAGAGCGCCTTAACAAAAGAATGTGCATATGAAGAGGAATTTAGCATATACATGGAAAATGCGTAGGAGGTGGGCGGGGGGGTTTCAAAGTCATATTATGCCCATGCATTATGCAGGATCAACAGCACCAAGGGGGGGTGCAGGGATTAGCACGGCGTCTCGGAAGATGAATCCCTGCAGTCACGAAAGCTTTAAATCGAAACAACAAACAAATACAAAAGCAACGATCGTAGTGCAAAGTATAGGAAAGGTAAACGAATCACTTCAACAAAAATATATACAAAAAAAAAACGAAACTTATTTTTTATCTTACCAGGTAAAGCGCGCTCAGCTATTAGCTCATTTTTTTAGAAGCGACCCAGCCACCCACAAATGATAGCAGGCTCGGCAGCGATTCCCAGAGCCCCCCTACCCTGAATCAGTGCCAATGAAGGGAGATTCTCACTGAAGGTTAACGGGCCTCTCAGGGCCAAGGCAAAGCGGCTGAGATTAAACGAGGAGCGAGCCAGGCAGATCAGCGGGAAGCGAAATGGGGTTGTGGTCAGGAGGCCGAGTGGTTGAGTGCGAGCGTGGTGTGCGCACGTGGCAACAGAGTCGAGCCTTGATGAGGAGGTGTTCACGGACGAGCACGGCCCGGACAACGGCGCCTCCACGCTGCAACTCTACAGCGTCTAGGCAACTGCGGAGGCGACTCGATTCAACTTTTCCCGCACTTCCCCATCAGCACGGTTGGCTACGTACGGTACGAAAGAAGTTTGACATACATGCAATTCGACGCAAACGCCGGATAACTCGATGCGACTTCAGGCAACTCGGCGTCGCTCCTAGTAATCTGACGCAACTCGACACGACTCAAAGAAATCCTGGGAAACTCGGTTCAACTCCAAGCAACTACGGGGAACTTGACGCAACTCCAGGCAACTTCACACAACTTTGGGGAACTCAACGTAACTCAGCACAACTCAAGGTGCCTCTAGGATATTCAATGCAACTTGACTCAACGCTGGGCAAGTTGACGCAACTCCAGGCAGCTACAAGTGAATGATCGGTGAAATTGCAGGTCACTCATTGCATTGTTTGATAAATCCAGGCAACTCAATAAAACTTTACATGGCGCGTTGCCATTCTGTGTTACCTGATCCAGCTTAACTGTAAGAGACTCAATGCAACCACACACAACTTGATGTAAAGCTTTACAACGAACTCAGACGCACGCGATTTCGTGAAACGTTAGACGTCACAATGCAGTTGCAAGTAATTGAAGGAATCCAATGCAACTCAGGGCAACTCTGAGTGGCATAGTGTAATTCTAAGCAAATCGACAGAATTAGATTTACATGAATCCCACGTGGATTCAGGAAAATCAACCCAAGATCTGGACGACACAATGCCACCTCGGGCAACGCGTCACTTCTCCACGCAGCTCAACGCAACTTCAGGCGACTCAACGCAACTCCGAACAACTCCGAGCAACTCACCGCAACTCCGGGCAACTCGACGCAACTTCAGGCAACTCAGTGCCACTCGGGAGACAAAGGCAGCCGGGCGTAATGCTGGCGACCCACCCCCTCGAGTGGCATTCTGGCCTTCATAGGTGCTTGCTAACAGCACTTGCCCCAACAGTTTGTTAAGGCTTTACGGGGGATCTTTGTCTTTGTTTGTGTGTGTGTGCACTTGCCCTAAAAGTCTGTTAAGGATATAGGGGGGGACCTTTGTCTTTGTGTGTGTCTGTGTCTTTTTGTGAGTGTATGTGTGTATTAAGATCCTGAGCCACAATCTCTTTGTGTCTCAAAACCCCGAGTATCAAGACCCTTGAGACCTGGTCTCCCTTAGTCTGTTAAGGTAGTCTATAGCCTGTAATCTTCTTGACTTTTTATTTTAATTTACTGTAATTGCCACACGTGTTGATTTTTTTAACGATTTATACAAACCATCATTTGAATGTTTTTTTCTCAATAAAAGAAAACTAAGTGCGTTGGACAGCACACACAGCCTTGTGTCTACACTTGTGTCAACACGGTCAGCTGTTTGTGTTCAGGTTATTTCTTCCTTTAGCCGACAGATTTGTAAATGGCATTGATATACGCTTGTGGCAGCTTTCGGGCAACCGTCAACGGCAACTTTCGCGTGTTGAACGTTTTCCGTACGTCGCCAACCGTGCCAATCGGAGGTGCATGCGGGGGTATGCAATGATGAGCACAATGATTATAATGGTGATTGTGATGCTTGATGATTGTGATCACCGTGACGACGATGACAGGAATGATGATAACAACGACTGACTGCTCAAGTGACTGATGATGATGATGATATGACAACGATTACCACGAACGATAACCGGCGATGATGAAAATAACAACAACGATGATGACGATGTGTATATGCTGAACTTCTTTCGCACCGTACCCAACCGTGCCAATCGGAGGTGCATGCGGGCGAAGGACAAACAAGCTAAACACGACAAAGTGTGCTCTGAAGAAATTATATTTCGATTTAGATTTGGGTAACAAATCTGACCTCTCTCCCCCTCCCCAAGTGGCCAACCGAGATGGCAACTTCCCATCAGAATAAAAAAAACACAGCGGTCACGTGACTGTCCGAAGTTGTGCCAATCAATCACTGTTCACCGAACACGGTGAACTGCCCCCCCCACCCCCGATGATAAAGACAACAAACTCTGCCACTACAACGCCACTGCCATTCTATAACCGCGTTGCCACGGCTGACGGCTCTCGTAGCACAGGCCGTGGGCCCGCGAGGGTTTACATCAATTTTGCCCGAGAGCGCCGTGTGGTTTGTTGTTATTCTTTGGTTCTTTCGGTAAAGTCACGTATAAAGAAAAAATAATAAATTAAATAATAGCATACGACGTTTAGATTGCAACACCAAGTAATCATCATCAGGTATAATGAAATAGCGACGTAAAATCTAACCAGAAAAAAATTCTCCCCCTAAGCCTTCTTTTTGTACTCATTGACATGTACATTTTTTCTCTAACTCCTCCCTCTCGCTGCCTCCGCCCCCCTCTTGTCTATTTAAGGCCACCCCACAGAGACGATCACCCCTCTCTGTACCTGTGTTGCCCGCTGTGTGTATCTTGGTGATATCTGTCTGCTTATATGTCTGTCTATAATTTTTTTCTGGTTAGATTTTATGTCGCTATTTCATTATACCTGATGATGATTGCTTGTGTTGCAATCGAAACGTCGTATGCTATTATTAAATTTATTATTTTTTCTTTATACGTGACTTTACCGAAAGAACCAAAGAATAATTCCTGCAGTCACGAAAGCTCCAAAGTTATGGTTGGTTGTTGTTGTTTTATTGACAAGGAGCGGCTCCCCACGCCGGTGAACCTCGTGCGGGATACCCTTTGAAGTTCATTTTGTAAGACGCCCCTTTCTCTCAAGCGCGTATTGAGAACAAACAGGAGCGCGCACAATACAAAGACACAGATCCCCCGTATAGCCTGCCACAGACTGTTGGGGCAAGTGCTGTTAGCGAGCGTCTATGAAGGCCGGCACGGCACACGAGGGGGTGGTTGGGCAACACCACGCCCGGCCGCCTTTGTCTCCCTCGTGGCAATGTTTTTAGACGCCACACCAGGTACTCAATTGAGGCTGAGTCGACCTAGGGGAGGCCCAGGACCGGAATGAGATAATCGTCACCGGTGTTGGCCGTGAGCGGGGGAATCAAACTCGGGTCGCCGGGTTTGTAGCGCAGCGCACTAACCGATACACTACCGCTCCCCACTATCGGAGCGCACACACACGCACACACACGCACACACAGACACACACGCACACGCGCACACACACGCACACACACACGCACACACACGCACACACGCACGCACACACAGACACACACACAGACACACACGCACACACACGCACACACAGACACACACGCACACGCGCACACACACACACGCACACACGCACGCACACACAGACACACACACAGACACACACGCACACACACGCACGCACACGCACACACACACGCACACACAGACACACAGGCACACACACGCACACACACACGCACACACACGCACACACACGCACACACACACGCACACACAGACACACACGCACACACACGCACGCACACACGCACACACAGACACACACGCACACACACACGCACACACACGCACACACGCACACACACACGCACACACACGCACACACACACGCACACACACGCACACACAGACACACACGCACACACACGCGCACACACACGCACACACGCACACACACACGGACACACGCACACACACGCACACGCGCACACACACACACGCACACACAGACACACACGCACGCGCACGCACACGCACCTTAGGGGCCGTTCATAAATGACGTCACGCAACTAGGGAGGGTCAGACATTTGTGACGATGTGTGACGAGGGAGGGGGGGTTTGAGAATTGTGACGTCACATAAAAAATGCGGAACTTAAAATAAATATAGGCAACACGTTCTACTTAATTAAATAGACTTTTAATAAATGTTTTCTCCTACAACATCAGAGTGCAGCGCCACATTAAATACGCACTACAATCACAATAGTTTAAAGCGATTTGAAGCATGTTTCATTTTTTGGGAGGGGGGGGGGGCAGAGCTTTGTGACGTCATATTTGAGGGGGGGTGTGACTTATTGTAACGCCGTGTGACGAAGGGGGGGGGGTCGAAAATCGTCCAAAATCGCGTGACGTCATTTATGGACGGCCCCTTAATCAAGGGAGACCTGTGTGACGGATTGTATTTAGTGGAAGTATTGTTGAAGAAGTGAAACTTATCACCATCATGAAAATATCGAAATTGTAACAAATATTCACTTATCAATCATGGACTTGTACTGATCACTGGTTGTCCAATTAGTTTGTTTCACAGAGTAGAAGCTGTTTAATGACGACTTTCACTCCTGGATCAATCCACTGCTGGATGAAAGCAATGGAAAGAGTGGGGAGCATGCAGGTCTGGGCGCCACGGTGGCGAGATGTTAACTACCTTGCCTGGTACACAGGAGGCCGTGGCTTCTATATCCCGACCCTGACACCCATGTGTGTTTGGTGTCTGCGTGTTCTCCCCCTGATCGCGTGGATTTTCTCTCCACATTTAGAGTCAACATCATGCATTTAGATGATTTGGCTGCTATACATCTTCACGTGATATCATTTGTGGCCAGGTCGCTTCTGAAAAATAGCTGTACAGCGCAGTGGGCCTTACCTGATAAAATACAATGGTTGGGTTGAGTGGGTCGTGACCAGAACCGATGCAGATAAAGCTTACCGATAACTGATAATGAGCCGTGGCCGGCATTTGAACTCGGGTCGCCGGGTTCATTGCTGCGGGCGCGTTAACCGCTGTGCCAACCACTCAACCACCGCTCCCGGCCCCCAGTTAAACTCGAATTGCCGTTTATTCGACTATAACATAGTGCGGGGTAAGAAAAAAAAGACATCGATCGTTTCGGCGTTGAAATGGTAGTTTCTTGAAGATCGAGACCATTGTTTGACGAGAACATGAACACTATGAGACATCTCCTTTACCAGTAGCAAAATATAGTAATAGGTTTTAACCCTTTCAACTGGTACAAAAACTGACACCTTTATACAAGGCATCATGTTTGCAATAACCACAACACAAGCAGTCAAAATACAAACAAAAAGAAACAACTCTGATGATGATGATAATAATATGCACTGTCCTTGAAGTTGATTGGTCCACACCCGAGACAGCTTTTCTTAGAGCCTAGTCTCCATTGGTGTTGGACCAGATGACGCCAAAAGGCGAACATGAACCCTACGGCAGAGGGCTCTTCGAGTGACTCGTCATAGGCACTTCAGTGACGTCGCATCCCAAGGACCCATTCTCCGACACTGATTGGTGCACTGCCAGCCGCGAGAGTGCCATGCGGAAACCTCCTCTCACGACAAGGCATCGAGAAGAATAAGTATAACCAGTAAAAACAAAGTTTTTCACTATAAATCCTTTATATGCGTGGCGGCTAGAGTCCTCTCGTCCTCTGGCTTGAGATGGCTGCCACCTATGGGTCAGATGATTGCATTGCACCATTAAGCAATTGGTAATTAAATATAATATTTTTGTCCTAAAAGGTGTAAAATTTTGGAAAAAATTTTCACGAACATTAATTGTCACGCACAACGAGTCTGTGTGGAAAATGTCAGCTCGATTGGATCACGGTAAGTTGGTTAAAAACGACCGAAAGATTTGCACGGTCCTAAGCAAGCAAGCAAACCTAATATAAAGGATTTAACAAGTATAACCCGTAAAAACAACGTTTTTCACTCTAAATCCTTTATATGCGTGGCGGCAAGAGTCCTCTCGTCCTCTGGCTTGAGATGGCTGCCACCTATGGGTCAGATGATTGTCTGCAGTATTAAACAATTGGTAATTACATATTTAATTTGTTTTCCCTAAACAGTGCAAAATTTTGGAAAAAATATTTCACGAACATTAATTGTCTCGCACAACGAGTCTGTGTGCAAAATGTCAGCTCGATTGGATCACGGGAAGTTGGTTAAAAAACGACCGAAAAATTTGCACGGTCGTAAGCGCGCAAGCAAGCAAGCGAACTTAATATAAATGATTAAAAAAAAAGAAATTTGGAGAAGGAGAAAATTTTAAATTGACCAAAAAATATCCCCTCTCGAAGAGATCAAGAAATATATTAAATTCTTCAATTTTGATTATTTTACATGCATTAACGTAGAACAATGTGAATGAGAATATGGGAATGGTTTTATTTATTTATACCACTTTGCATAATTTTCTTCCTCCTTCTTCTTGGAAACCCAGTGACCAAAAATATGTAATTATCAACGGTCAAAGCAAAACGCGAACAACAACAACAAATATAATATCTGCCGTAACGATGCTTTTGTGTTCTCCGATGAAATAGCACGTCAACCGCTATGAAATTATCTTTCGTGTCATAACCTTGAGCATTAAAAAATATATATATAACGCTTGATAACAGGGTTTTCCCCTTTTATCTGGCAACAAAGCAGGTGTTAAGATGTTTAAACATCAAACTGAAACCTTTTACAAGGAATCATGTCTACATTAACCACGATGCTTGTGATCAGAATGCAAACAAAAAAACATACTCTGATAATATATGCATCGTCATTGAGACAGCTTTTGGCGTCCTCTGGTCTAACACCGTTTGAGACGAAGAAAGCTGTCTCTGGTGTGGACCAATCACTTTCAAGGACAATGCTGATATTATCAGAGTACGTTTTTTTGTTTGCATTCTGTCCACAATCATTGTGGTTAATGTAGACATGATTCCTTGTAAAAGGTTTCAGTTTGGTGTTTTAACATCTTAACACCTATATTCTTGGCTTTCTCGGTAAAGTCACGTAGAAGGGAAACAATAAAATAATAAAAATATAAAACAATAAAATTCGCACGACGTTTCGACTGCAACACAAGCAATCATCGTCAGGTGTGAAAAAGACACAGCAAGAAAATTAGCCAT